TAAAGGATGTGATGTCACTTCCTCCACACCTCACTCTCTTTTATCTGCACTTGTTGTTTACTCTGGAATCTCTCTTCCTCTTCTTTTCTGGGCAGTATTTTGCTGCAGCTGAAAGTACTGGCTAATGGAGTGGAAATGTTGAAATTGTTTGGTGACAATTTGCTTCAAATACGTGTCTTTAAAAGCCAAGGGTTTAATGGTTACGCAGGAAATAATTTAAATGAAATAAAATAGTAAAAATGAGGGCTGTCCAAATGTACATGTTAGTCATAATAATTAAATGTCAGCTAAATATTTTATCTATGTTTTATGGAAGGGCAGAAAGACACACACCGTTCATACACTTAAAAACATGTATATTTATATATATATTATATATATATATTTATACAAATATAAATATATATGTTATTGTGTGTGTATATATAAATGTATATTTTTTGTACTGTATTTAGATTTGCTTTTGGGTAAAACTATAAAAAGAAGAACGCTGTTGGCCAGCCACAGTAAGCGTCCTCACCCGGCTCTTGAACTCACATAATGAAGGAGCGTGCGGCCAAGCCTCACATGCAGGGGGCGAGGTAGCATTTTAATGGACCAATTTTTCAAAACCCGTCACACTGCTCGGCACTGAAGATGTATTTTTCCGTTGTTGATGAGCATTACTCAACGCTGGAGCCAAGGACCCTGATATTGTTGCCTCCTGCTCTGGCTCCAGTCACCAAAGCTAGTCATCCAAAAACGCAAATGAGCATTTTTTTTTTAGTTTTTTATTTTGGCCACAGAGTAAAAGCCTGGGTGGATCAGGGTGTTCACTCACTGTAACGCTGGTGATCTCTGAGACTTTGTCCACTGACGGTTCAGAGGTTTTTTTTAAATGACAGCTCAGAATGTGGAGTAGTGACCCAGAGGCTGGAGAAGAATAGACTGGTTTGAAGAGTCCAAGCCGACGTCCACAGCCTGGTAGTTTCAGTAGAAAAACATGTTTTTTTTTATCATTACAGTATTAGTAAAATGAGAAATGGAACGTAGTGTTAGCTTCACTCAGCTCCCAGTAGAAACACCATCAGGCTAGTAACCGATGGTTGTTGGTTTGAGTCTCAGCCCCTTTTAGGCTGCAGGGATTAGTTAAAGTTGAGAGCTGTGAATGTTTTTAAATTTTAACCCTGAGACATTTTGTCCATTTTAAATTATTCTCATTAAACAATGTGAATAAAATTACAAATAGATATATAAAATAAATCTACCATACTCCAGGGAACCACTTCATGTAGTTATTTTTATAACCAGGGAACCACTTCATGTAGTTATTTTAAGTGTAGTTAACACATTTAATTACATTTTTTAAACTATCCTAAAGTTATTTTTTTTGTCCTATTTTTTATTATTGTTTTTCTTAGTTTTAGCCTTTTTTTTACTTTTTGGAAATTTTTAACTAACCTTTAGTTATCCTGGAAGTTACTGTAATTTTATTTCCTGTCAAACTACAGAAATGATTTGTCTGAAGCAGAAGTCATCTGGTCCTCCAGCTGGTACTTGACAAATCAAAACCATGTCCTCCCTTCTGTGGACAACCATGATGTCACTCATCATGGTGCCAACGTTTTCCCAAATGAATCCGCAGATCCATTCTAGAACACGTACCCACCCTGATGACACCATGGACGTGAAGCGTTTGTCCCTGACGGTTTTATTTTCCCTCATCTCTGGTCTTACGACTGCAGGCAGTTTCCAGGCCTGGGTTTTCGTCATGTTGACTTTAGGCCGAGCAGAGTGGACAGAGTTGGACTCTAATTGACAGTAATTGTGCTCGTCAGAGTCTAAGATGTAAGTTACACATTCATACATGGGAAGTTGTTACACACAGTATTACAGTAACATCTGGTTTTAGCTGCTGTTGTCTTTAAACGAGAACAGAGCAGATGGATTCTGGTCCAAACTCAACTCCTGGTTCAGTTCATGGTGAGAAATCAAAAGAAAAAACTGAAGATGACGACGACACTTTAACATCAGCAATGATTCTTATTCTAATGTTTTTTTTTAATTCTGTCAAGAGTCATAAAAACACACACACACACACAGGCTTGTGTTGTGGTAACAGTCGTAGATTTAGTTTTTGTTCTGAACCAAGTGAAGTCATTTTGGAGAAATGTGAGCAACTGACCACAAGTCCAAACACTGAAACTCACTTCAGTGGAGACAGATTTGACTGTTTTTATTTCAGGCCTTGTATTTGGAAAGGCCACATTCACAGCCTGTGCTTCTGTAAAGAACTGACACAGTCGGTTCTCTGCTCCAGGAATCAACTAACGGTACCAATGCCAAGTCTAAAAAAAAACAGATAAAAACAAACATGGCTGCCAGCAGTGACACATGGGAAAACCAGCTTCAACCACTTCACCAAAAGTCTCATCCAATAAAATCTATTTCAGCTTTTACTTTTTCCCACTAAATGGAATTTGGGTCAATTTTATTTGACCTTTACTTGACCTTCTGAACACGTGGATTCACCCACCAATCCTTTCAGTTTAACGTGTTAAAACTTAGTTAGCAGCAGGTTATCCTTGGACTTTTTACCATTTACCTTCACAGAGACATTTTTAACTGCGATGGAACACTACTGAATGACATAATTCATGTTCCAGGGCTTGCACTTGATGTTGTTCTATGTTTTAATGTTGCGGTCCAAAACCCAGGAGCAATGTTTAGCTCGTTAGCTAACAAGACAGTGTAGTTGTTACTGGTTGGCTGCTCACCAAAGAGTGAAAAAGAAGTAAAAGTAGAAGTAAAAAAAAAAGATCACCAAAGAATGAAAAAGAAGTAAAAGCAATTAGTAAAAACAGAGGCATCACTGAATTTCATGGAAGTGCAGCATGAAGTCAGATTTTCCGTAACCCTGAATGTATCTTACACTGTAACTACACCCCAAATATTTCCAAAGGAAGGCGCAATGGCTTTTTGAAGTGAGATTGTTTGTCTCTGCTATTGGTCGAAATATACATAGATAATATATATTATGTAGGGATATCCAATATTAGCTTTTTGACGATATCCAATATGCCAATATTGTCCAAACTCCACATTTCCAAATCCGATTGCAACCCTCCATTTTAAAGTATTGATGATGGTTTTGTACATAAACCACATTTGACTGAAATAAAGAGGTCAGGTTAACATACAGACATAAATACTGATACATATATTTCTACAATATATTGACAAATATAACAGGTTTAATGATCAATATTCTGTCTGTTTGGAGGAGAAACTTTAAAATAAATTATGTAAATATACTCCTGAATCCTGGGCTGAATCCCAGAGCCCACAGTCTGGTGTTCATCACTGGGTCACATCTTTTATTCAGTTTTTTGTTCAGCTTTATTCAAAAATAAAGGTCTACGCCGCTCTGGTGGATAAATGATTTTTCTTAGTTTTTTCTTCTTCTTTTGGCTGCGGTGGTTTCCATCACCGATCATCTGACTCCATCTCCATATTCTTTGCCTCCTCCTCCTGTTGTTCCACCATGGATATTCTGAGATGTCCTCCTTTTCTTCTTGTTCCTGCTCCATCTCCACCATCTCAACCTTGAACCTTTATGTCCAGCTCTGGTCAACATCTCAGCAGCTCTGGATGGACTGTCAAACTTTTCACAGCAGGAACCTGTTTGCCATTAGAGTCTGAAGTAGTGTTTCTCCAACAGTCCAAACTTGTTTCAGAGAAAGGTTCTTGGCTCGGTTTGATCTCCAACATATGAATGTATTTTGTCTGAAAGCCTGTATTGTCCACATTGAGCTCAATTCTCCTGTTGAGAGATTCTTGGCAAGATTCTAATGTTACTCAACAAAAAACTAAAACCAGCGCTGAGAGAAAGAACGAACAGAGAGGAAAAGAAAAGAAAAAAAAAACCCCACAGTGAAATCCAGCCACAGAAAACACATCATTTTCTGATTAAATATACTCTGAGCTTCTCACCAAAGAAACACAGGAACAACCACAGGCAGGAACCACGTCTGCTCCGAGGAACGGCAGCCAATCAGATCTGCGGGAGTTTCTACCTCATCATCTGACATTCAGTTTCCAGAAACATCTATAATTCACCTTTTCAGAAGTTGATTTGTTTGGATGCCGTCCCTCGCTCTCTTACATTTATAATTACCTGAGTGAATTAAAGCTTCAGCGGCTCAGTTTTTCCCACATTAATTTAATGTATGACTTGAAACAAAGAGAACAGGAATGAATGAGACCTTGGTGTCAGGATCTGACGGACGTTTGTTTACACAAGGTCAAAGTATTCAGCTCATTCCAGTGAAAACCCTCACACACTGCATGTTCCATTTACACTCTTACAGCATATGACAGGACACACACAGGATGTGCTAACTAACTAACTAACTAACTAACTAACTCCTGTCAATTATAGTAACCCTGATTCCTGGATTTTCTTTGGCCCAGAGTTGGACCGGTGTGTCAGAAGAAACGACCAATGAAATTTAATTATGACAAAATTCAAACGAGAACTGATTGTGTTTAGTTTGAAAACGAGTTCAACACATTGGAACTGATTAATGTGCCTCATACACTCTCTCTCCCTCTCACTCCCTCCAGAGACGGAGCAGAGCAGCAGTCCCAGTCGAACAGGTGGGGGGTCTGATCAGGAGGACAGTCGGACAGCCACCATGGGTAATCTGTCACAGTCTGTTGACTCATAGATATGTTAGCGTCACTGGTACAGACTGAACAGTGAGGCTGGTTCTACTTGTACCTCAGTCAGTCCAACTGTTGCTCAGTGTAAATGGTCATTTACAGTACTTCCTGGCCCACCCTGGACCTGCAGTGGTCCAGACCGTGGTCCTGGATTAAACATTTTACCACGATAATGAATGTGTTTTAAAGACTGCGTTCTGTTCAGTGAGCTCACATCCTGTCCTGAGATATTCTTAGCCTGATTGTAAACTCATGTCAAACTAAAGCTGCACTGAAAGAGGAAAAAAAAAGAAAAAACACAGAATGAATGGAAACATTCAACAGGACATGATTTCCACATTAATAAAAAAGACTCGAGACCCGAAGGAAAATAAGGTGTGTGGTTCAATCCCCGTCCAGTCACACAACTTTGAAATTAAAAAACTTCATTAAAGCTGAGGGGCGGCCTCTGATGTTTGGGCCGACCGCCTGTCACTCCGGCTACGACACTGCACTCGCTGTGACATAAACTTAATGAGCCTCACTGCGGAGGTTTTTGTATTGATGGAAGCAGACCTGGACCGTGTGTCAAGTCTCCTCCACTGTTGAAAAATGCTGACTCCCACTCCCTGAACCATTATGTATCTAAATGAGAGAAAAATGAGTCCTGGCAGGGGACTCTGGATATTAGCCAGTGATGTCAACAAGCCTGGTCCGTCAGCTGACTGAGTTTCTGGAATCTCTGCTGACATTGTTGGAACTTTGGTGAGCAGAGTTTAATCTGTGCAGCAGACAGTTGTTTTTAAAAACATTTATTTATGGCCTTGTCGTCTGAAATATAAAATATTACACAAAATAATCTTTATTCTCACCTAATCCAAAGGCTCTGAACAGTGTTTGATCCTCAGCAGAACAGAAATGGGTTTAAGTCGTAGTTTCTGACTCTGTGTGTGTGTGTGTGTGTTTCCACAGATGGCCCAGAGTTCCAGGAGAGCTTTGTGACATCAGGGGTTTTCAGTGTCACCGAGCTGGTCCAGGTCTCCAGAAGTAAGTTCTGGTTCCTGACCCGACTCACTGGTGAATGTTTTTCACTCAGGTTACTGCTGACGGTGAAGGATACTGCAGTAAAAAAAAAATTATTATGGGCTTTGAGTTGTAGCTTTTTCTACTTTAACTACTGGAGCGTTAGCACTAATTAGGTCCTTCAGGAGAAATTAAAAAAACAACAACAACAACAGAATCTTTTACTCCCTTAATGAAATAAATAAATGTTAAATATCCAGCCAGGCTTCCGTAGCACACGTTAGTAGATGTGGAAAAATCAAAGAATGACAAGAAAATCATATTACAAGGCATTTTCTAAATCTGCCCTCATTAATTACCCTGAAACTCTTAGGTTTTCCCCCTCACCTCTTCATTCACACTGTTCCCACTTTTGGGAGGCAAACTTTTTTTTTTTAAGGTTGCTGTACGACATGACAAGTCCTGCGGAACTTTAGACTGTAATGAAGACTGATGGGTTTAATGTGTCAACTGTGTCCGTCCGTCCACAGCCCCAGTGGTCACAGGAGTTGGACCCAGTTTCTCAGTGGGCGAGCTCCAGGGTCACCTGGCGTATGACCTCAACCAGTCTGTCAATCAACCAGTCAGTGTCAGACGATCATTAGCCAGCACATCATCCAGCGGGTAAACACACACTCCCACACACACACACACTCCCACACACAGGATTAAAAAAAAACAGAGTTTAAAGAAATCTGTAAATATAAACAAGCAACTTCTGAATGTACAGCAGTCAGCAGCAGGAGCAGGAAAAACTGCCGTTTTTTTGTTTTTAACTCACTTCATTAGTTCTATTAAGAACATTTTAAATAGAAATGTGCGTGTGCGCAGGAGTAAGCGTCACAAATCTGGCTCCATGGAGGAGGAGGCCGACAGTCCTGCAGGAGAGTATTACCACTCACCATCATCTCCTGCCAGCAGCTCCAGGAACTGGACTGACGACATGGAAGGAGGTGAGAACCAGAACCTCCAGGGTTCTCCATCTCCTCAGTTTCAGTTTTCTTTACTACAACACCACCTACATACACCCCCCCCCGGCCCCCCCGTGTGTCTGTTTCAGGTCTGTCTCCCCCAGTAAAGAAGGCTGAACTCGACAGTCCGTCTCCCCAGGAAGACTCACCCAGACTGGGAACCTTCACCCAGCACCACCGTCCAGTCATAGCTGTTCACAGTGGTCAGTGTTACACACACACACACACACACACACACATACAGACTGTGGTTTAGACCCAGCATCATCACTGTGACTCCACTTTTCTTCACCTCACCCCAGGTCTCTCCCGGAGTACTCACCCGTCCTCATCTCTTCATTTTCCAACCTCGTCCTACTTCCCCCATGGAGCAATCAGATACCCCCCTCACATGGCCCAGGACCCTCTCAAAGACCTGGTCTCCCTGGCCTGTGACCCTGCTAACCAGAGTCCGAGCTCAGTGAGTCCAGAATGTTCCGCTCGGTAGAGCTCTTTTATCTGAGAAACAACGTTAAATGTTTGAATTTTTCTGACACCTCTGTTGTTTTTTTTTGTCCCCCAGTTGAATGGCAGCAGTCAGATTAAAGTGCCCAGTCACTACATCTCCTCTCAGATGTTGGCTCCTCCTGGACCAGCATCCTCTCTGGCTCCTAACCCATCCTCCCTCACCAGGCCGACCCTGTCAGCAGAGTCCAAACCCAGCACCACGTCCTCCGCTGACGGTGGTCCACATTCTCCCACATCACCCAGTAAATTATCAACAACTATTGTTTTTTGTTTTTCTAAATATAAGAGAATATGAAACAGATACTCTCCTTTCAGTCAAACAGTTGAACAGTGAAGAGTTTCCTGTAGTTTTAAAAATTCCTCTCTGTGTTTTTTCTTTACCTCACTCTTCAGCCTACTCTGCTCCTGGGACACCTCCTGCCAGTCGACCCTCTTTCGTTGGAGTCACCCCTCGGGACCCAGGTGGACTGTACCAAGCCCAGGTCAGTAGGGTGGTTAATTTTGAAATTGAACCTTGTTTAGGGACAACACAGTCTCCTGTAGACTGGACCAGTGTGGCTTTATTAGAAAGTCTGATCATGTAAATAAGACTTAAAACAATGTATTTGAGACTTTAATTTGAGGAGGAACACTGGGTTCTGAACTGATACGGACCCACAGCCAAAAGATGGACTGCAATACTTGACTTCAGAACAAGGAAGTCCTGCACCAGTGACCGGTTCAAAACTGATGATTAGCCTTGTTAGCATGTTTCAGTCTGGGTGAAAAACCTCGTTCTGCAGTCAGAGCTTAATGATAATGGGGCCAGAGAAGAAGAGTCGGTGCTGAAGGAGAGCTGGACCTTGTTGTGTTGAGTTATAATTGTGTCAATTGTGTGGTTGCTGCTGCAATGCAGCTCCACTGCCCCAGAAACAGCAGCTCACTGTTGTCCAGTGAGTCAGAAGAGTTATCCCCCCCCCCACCCCCTCCTTCTCTCCCTCTCTCTGCGGTAGAAAGTTTTCTTCCACTCAAAGGTTTGTTGTCAAACTGTTGTTCTGTAGTTGAATTCCGCTCAGACATGTTTCAAATGAATGTGTTCAAACCTCTGACTGTATTTAAGACAGCAGTGAGGCGTAAGACAGTTTAATCGTCTCATGGTGGCAGGCATGCAGAGCAGCTCATTCTTTTTCCTTGTTTTGCACCTGTCCTGAAGTACTCTGGCGCCCCCCAGTGGAGGCAATAAAAGCAAAGTTTTAATTCCAGGGTCCTCTGATTAGACCTTGTCTGTGTTTCAGTCCTGGTATCTGGGGAACTGATGACGCTGCAGAGGATGACGGAGGACAAAGGTCAGCCATGTGGTCACTGTCCAGTCCAGTTTGAGCAGGTTTACTTACATATATGTAAATATACAGTGAGTTTATATTTACACATGTGTACGCTCTGAATGAAGACCACCAGGATGGAAAGGTTTGGCTGCCCCCTCTGCCCCTCCCCCACTGTTGTCTGTTCTGCAGCCACAGTAAGGACAACGCTGTAAACGTATGGTTCTCACTAAAGACCACTGACGTGGGAGCATTGGATCCACGCTGATGTTCTGGAGGGTCTGGTGGACTATGGACCAGAACCAGAACCAGGCCGTGACTGTCCAGATCTTGATAAGCCCATGAACTAATGGCATTTCCAGAATGAGGCCTGTTTTCCTGGGACGGACGTCCGCCTTTAAAACCTTGCACCTTGGTTCCTTTTCACCGAGTACGGTCAAAAGAAAGGCCTGAACCCTGGGACTGATGTAGACTCTCCCCCAACCCAACACCCAGAATGCCTCCCCGACTCCCCTAGCCTTCTTCGCTGCAGGTGCTGCTTCTAATATATGCAAATAAGCCTCCTTTATTTTCTCAATAGACGAGCGAGAGAGAGAGAGAGAGACCCCTGCTGTTAATAATGTAAAGTTTGTTTCTTTGCACTTTTTGATATGTTATTGATACGGACAGGAAAAAAAGAAAATGAAGAGTTGGAAACAGCGCCATCTTTTTTTCCCTCCCTCTCTTCCCACCAAAAGACAGAGGCTTTGACTTTTTTTACTGACAATCATCCAGCTCCAACCATTACGTTGCGTCACCAAGGCTCATCTTTCTACGACTGACTGTGCTGATTTTTTTAAAAACCAGGAAACGATAAATATTAGTGGAATATAAGAGCTATACACATGACTCCTCAGAGTTGGACACTAGTGTGGAGGAATCTGGGACGTCCGGCCTTTGGTTTTCACAGGCCTGGTGGCTCCAGCAGACAGCGTCTTTTTACATGAATCTCCTGCTGCTTCTCTCCTCACAGACACTTCTGTCCTGACAGTACGTATCCATGCTGTGTGAGAGAGAGAGATAGCTAAGTGAGAGTGTTACCGCACACCTTTATAATTCAGCAGCTATGGCTTGAACGCAGCATTATTTGCTGAACTCTGTGTGTGTGTGTGTGTGTGTGTGAGCATCATGCTGCATTTCCAACAACATCCCTGCTCTGCGTTTCAGCTGATTGTTCCTGAGCGACAGCAGCGTCAGGTCTTGTTGTGGTGTAGGTGTAGACGGAGTGACGGAGGTGTTGCACTATGGTTGTGTTCTTTAACAAAACGTCATTTTTGAAACAGTGTTACTAAAGTGTTGTTGTGCTGGACATCACGTGCACGCTGACGTGGACAGAGCACAAACTGTCCATCAGCTTAACACAGCCTCCAACGCCTGATTGGCTGGTTGCACACGCTGGTGTTTGATGCCACCACAAACCCAGACCCACGGCGGCTGCAGCTGCAGTGTTCCACTTCAGCTGAAACAACTTTCTTTTTTAAACACAATTATTATTAATATAATAAGGAAGTCATCAGACCTCAAGTGTTTTGCACAAAGTCCAACAACTACACGAGGCCTAATTCACAATGTTTCCTTCTTCATTTGCTCACCAAATTAGGACTTCTAAAAGATGGGGAAAGAAAATCTCCTTTAGTCCAGGGGGCTGTAGCGTAATGGCGTTGTTGTCCTTCTTCACTCAGGCCTAATGGTGCCGTGGTGACCCCATGGTCAAAGGTGAAGCTGGGTCATTGTTTTCTCACGTGTTTTGAAAGGCAAAGCAAGATTTAATTAAGATGTTAAATTTGATGCTACTATTAGTTAGCGGTAGCTTAGCTGCTAAAGTTGTAGCTGCCAAAATCCTTTCTTCACCAGAGAGAAGGAAGCACCGTTACCTAAAAACCCAAATTCATCCTTTGAGAATTCCCAGACATGTTGATGAAAGTGTGAAACTGCTCGGATTTGTACGTGAACTCTGGTCCAGACCTGACTCTGCCTTTTTTTACAGCAGCTTTTTGTTTGTTTGCATTGTTTTGTTGAGGAAAGTTTTGAAGCGACTGGGGTTTTATAGACGATAGTTTTTCCATCTCTGAGGCTCAGTCGATGTTTGTGGTCGTTTCTGTATGGAGCCGTGATCAGACTGAACTCAACCTGGAGTAAGAAGTCATTTGTTGACATTTAACCATGATAGGATGTTTGTTGGTTCAATTCCCTGCCCCCCCCCCCCCCGAGTGCACTAGAGGTTTTAGTCTGTCTGGTGTTGTTCAACAGACTGCTTCACAGGTGGGTTTGATGTTAGATCCTCTTTAGGTGAAATTAAAGAAATTTAAAAGTTTTCCAGCCACATCTGTTCTGTAGTATTTCACATAGTATTTCTTTTTTTTTTTTTTGGGTCGACTCTTGATTCAGTGACACTGCATCTGTAGTTGGGTTTGGGTTCAGTCTGAACACCAGTGTTTGCTTCTCATCCTGCACTCTCCCAGCATCAAACAGTGCCTACTAGTGTTTCAGATGGCCTACTGCAGATGCCGACGGGAGCTGTGTGGTGAAGTTTGGTTGAAGTCGGCTTCAAGCTGTTGTATATGTACTGCATGGTGCTGTCCTGGTCGCTGTGCTGACCAAGAGAATGCATGGCTCAAAGTAATAATACCTCCTCCTGTCAACCCACTCTGTCTCCTCCCCCTCTTCCTCTTCCTCCTCCCTCTGCACTGCATCAGAGGGCGGGCGATGGGAGAGTTGACCTTTTCTTTGGATTATAATTACCATTCTAATAATTACTCTGTTGTTAGACTTTCTATTTTGCACGATATATCATGAAACACATTATGTGCCTTGCCTTTAGTTAGAGAACAATAAGACGTCATGAAGAAGTGATCATACATCTCATGGTACAGCTGGAATCACTTCAGAAAAAAAAAATCCTCACAAAAAAAGCTGCATGTGTGAATGCCTGACTTGAACTGATGTAGCAGCCAGAGAGCTTCAGGTGCATCAGTGGAGATGGCACGCTGAGACACAGACTCGTGAGACTGTGGACTTCGATTAGCATTAGCATCAGCAACAGCTAAAGCTGTCACTTTTATGACAGACGGTAGTGAGATGCGCCAGGGTTCTCCATGTGCAGCCTATCATTAAATCCTCCTTTGGCCTTTCAGTAAAGAATCCTAATAAGAGTGTGTTTGCTGTTAGCAAGCAAGTAGCACACTCACTGTTTTACAGAATAAAATGACACCAATACACAAAGCTACAGCTTTGTTTAAGGACATTTCTAGCTAGCTGATGCTAACTGCATTAGCCCATACACTAGTATGTTGTTTTGCTCTTAGCAGTAGGTTTTCCCAAAGTCTTGTGGGTAAAATGCGTACTCTAAAGTTCCGAAAATCCACTTCTTTTCACACATTGTGTTTAGTGCTGGCAATTAATGCCTCTGTGACTGCGCAGTCATTGCACATAGTCCTGTTTAGTTTAGTTTAGTTTTGAATATAAGTAAGAAAATAAATAAGAAAATCTTAATGCCCCCCTGTGGCAGACAGGAAATTCAGAAATTCAGAAACTCAGAACCAGAACATAAAAGCGAAAGAATGAAAGAAAATCAACTAAACAAGAATAAAACATGTTTATAAAAGATCTGTCAGCGTTCAACCTATAAACCTTTGATAACAGTACTGGAGGACCCGGGTTGTGATCTGTGTTGTTGTCAGTTAGTCGTGACATCACCACTGAGTCATCAGCAAAACTGAAAAACGTGTCTGTCCTCATTTTGACCTCAGTTGGTGGTAAAAGTAACAGCTGCGGCTCAGATGGAGACAGAACCTGTTCCAGATACAGTACTACAGTAGGTCCTGTAGTAGGACCCGCCCCACAGTTTTGTCACAGATCTCTTAAGATCAGATGACAGCAGTGAACTCTTCCAAAATACTAAAAAAGCCATTTCCAGAGTCTTTGCTCAGCACTGTCTCCATTCTGTTTTTAGATCCATGCACAGCACATCTCAGAGTCTTTGATACAGGATGTTGTGAATATTTTGTCAGGACTTAAGCCAACGTGGCCAAGCCACCAAAACCAGTGGAATGGAAACATGTTAAACATGTTGAGGTTTGAGCAGCTCGATGATTTGCCGTCCGTTTGCTTTTTGTAATAATGATGACCATGTGATTTATCCCATGAAGAGCCACAGACCAGGTGGAGTTTTTTAAGGATGCATGCACTTAACACTAGTCATACTTACCTTTGGCACTTAGGTTTTTAATCTCTTCTGTTTTTAATCTTTACTTTGCTTATAGTTTGATAGTTTGAAACACGGCAGTGTTTAAAAAATGTACAAATTAGACAAATAAGGTGTCGCAATGTATGTTGGTTTTTTTATATTTAAGCTTTTTTTTAATTAATTTGGATGTGGCCAAGCCTCAAAATATATGATACCCATGAAATGGGTGAGATGATGCTAGAGGTTTAACCATGTGAGGGATGAAGATTCATGATGATGATGATGATGACAGGTGAAGGGTGGAAGTTAAAGCAGGGTTAAGGAGTCTGTGTTCCTTTAGTTACAAGGCAGCATTGGAACCAGAACCAAGAGATTAAAATGACGGTGGTCCACTGTTGGCAGCAGTGTTTTCAGACCAACAAAATTAGAAAAATTGTGGATGTATGACCAAATTTGGACTTCCCTTGAAAGGTTGGACATTTTTAGGGACATTGGAACATACTTCATTATTGCAGAACGTGTCTCTGCCACGTTCCCAAAGTCTTCCATCTGTGATGATCTGAAAATATTTCATTAAAAGATAGAAATGAAAAAAAGATATGTTTGCACTATAATGTTAGCAACCATCTGGATGGTTTGAGCTGTCGCCTATGGAATTAGGGGGTTGCTGGTTCAAATCCCAGCTGTGTAAAACCAAAGATAATCGATATGGTACAATGCACCTGTTTCCACAGTAAACACTTGTTACAAACCAGGTGTAGTTGATTGTGTGTTTTCTGAAATTGGAGGTTGAAAGTTGAAGGTAGATTGATGTCCTTTGAAAGTTGGATGTTAGCTATGGCACAAAAAAGCCCTCAGTAAATGTTTTGCCCTCCATAATTAGTCACTACATATGATAGCCACAAATGATAGCTTAGCAACATACATATAAGATGCAGGAAACTTGATTTTTTTTTTTTGTGCTAAATGGCAGAGGTAGTCTTCAAAAATTCTGACTTCAGTGTAAACTTGGAACAGACCACAGTTGGCAGCATTAGTCACAGTCATCAACAGGGGGCGAAGCTTCATCTGAAGGCTCTTTTTGTTGGTATTTCAGCCTAATGGCTTAGCATTAGCTTGTGCCTGTGTGTAGCATGTTGAAATAAGCTGATGCTTTTGTTGCTGCTTGAAAAGTTGGACATCTGTCAACCTCTGCTCTGCAAACAAACAGGTGCGACAGATCCAGCTTGGCAGTTTAGTTTAATTAAGGTAAATAAACAGCAGTGTTTGACTAACAGAGCTATGCTAGTTTGTTAGCTTCTGTGGTTGATGCTGTGTAAGGAACACAGAGGGAGTTTGGCTTCGGGCAGATCTTTTCATTGAGGGCTTTTTTCCCCTATAGATTACTAATGTGACTTCACACCTTTATTACTGCTGCTGTTTCCTCAAACCTTCTTACTTCTTCTTTTGGACGTTTCTTACTTGAATTGCAATGATTTTATTTTTGATGACCCTGAAAACCTTTCCTCTAATTTAGACTCAGCAGCTTGACAATTTTTTTAAGTTACCAAAAAAAAAAAAAAAAAAAAAACAACCCAAGATTTTGTACAGTTGATAAATGATGCCATGTTGATTATTCCTCAGTATCCATGGGAATCTTGTTCCGGCACAATGTTTACTCCATGTGCTGGAAGCAGTGTGAAATGAATGAGCGATTTCCACTCTGATTTAGTTTGATATGTTTAGTTGTTTTTTTCATATGTGTTAATTTTCAGGTAATATAGTAAAGGACTGCTTTGCTTGCTTCCAGATATATATCCCTTACATCAGACAGAGCAAAAGCATGAACAGCTTTAATTATTCAGTGCATGATGGGGATCCATGTAGACCTCAGTCCTTTTCACTTCACAGCTTACTGCATGATATTGGGTTCTGGGTGCAGTACTACTACTGGTGAAGGGTTTGACCTGGAAAAAAAACAGGCTCTACCTTTTCTTAGTTGATGCTTTTATATTATGGGTCATTTTATGCCATCCTTCATTCCTTATTATCAGTCTGATAAGTGAACTGAAATAAATTTCACTTTCATAAAAAAATAAATATAAATCATAGTAAATTCACTTTTCAGTTCAAAAACAACATCAGCTGTCAAAGGAAACAAACCAATTATTTTCACTGGCTCAAAAAACCCCAATATCTAAACTTAGCTGGATCATATTTCCAACCAAAAAAGTGTTTGAAAATGTTAACATTTGCAAAAGTGCATCATGTCAGACTGTGTGTCACAGTGAAAAGGGCTGCTGTTCTGCACTGGATGTTGTTTGTTCCAGCTTTAACAAAATCTATAAAGACTTTTAAACACCCTTTTGGTTTTATTTTTCATCTTAAACAAATGTCAGTGCTCCACATTTATTTGCATGGTGTTAAGGGTTCCCAAATAAACCTATACGGTATATAAAAAAGGCATTCAGACAGGGACAGGGAATGATGTCAACACAATTGTGTCTGTTGAGACTGGAGAAGGTTGGGGTCTCTGTTCCTGTGTGAATGACAGATGGCTGCCTGAAGTGCAGTGTTCCTGATCTAACGTTGTTCATCTGCTGTGGGGGATATTCACATCTTTGATACTATGTCATTATATCCATATTTAGCCATTGCTGTCAGCCCAGGCTGATGATGCCATTACTGGAAATGAGTATGTTTCCCTATGCAAAAATATACCATGAATTAAAAAAAGCTATACCACAATGCAATATATGGTGTCCTGACTTTTTATTTAAATCCATAATTTTCATACATCAGACAATATTTAGTTAATATCTTTGATATTATGTTATATAATGATAACAATAAAAATAATTATTATTATAATACTAATATAGTGATGTATAAAATGATTGTTGAAATTAGTGAATGAGACAAACCTGAGTGATAAAGTATTCTGTCACACTAAATTTACGTTTTTGTAGACAACAGAGGTTGTTTTAAAGGGATCTAGAAAATGCTAAATGCTGTTTTTGTCCTTTGTTATAGCCCTTTGATAAATACGCATTAATATAATGGCAAATAAATAATTCCAAGCATGTAATTATCATTTAAATATTTTTTTTTTATTATTATTTATTCGTTTGTTTATTACTTGTACTAGATTCTAGACTTACTCCGGTTTCGTAGGGGGCGGTGTGGAGCTTTTTGTCTGATACACGTCAGCTACCGGAAAAAGAATAAAGTATTTCCTGTTCTGCTTCCGGAGTAAAACGATTGGCGGCTGAAAAGCGCCAAATCAAACTTCTGCCTGAGAATAACAAAGCTCGCTGTCAACTAGAGGCTCGTTTTCTCACAGTTCAGCCTTTTAATGTGCGTTTTGCGTCAGTGGCGCACTGTCGTAAAAGAAAAAGGATCGAGTTACTGGTTTTAGCGTGACATTTTAAACTTTAAACATGGAGGAGCTTTTTAGTAAAGTGTTACAAGTGAACGTCAGGTGTAGAGACTGTGAGGACAGGTAAGACGCACGGAAAAACCTTTACTGTATTCTTTGCAATTGTAATTGTTATTGTGTTTGTCTTATATGTAAAACAGAGATGACACACTTTTAAAGCCCGGTCCGCAATTTGAACGAACAAATACCAGTCGACATGATTTAAACGTGCGTTTAAAAGCACATTGTTTATTGTGTTTAGTTTTGAAAAATGCGATGCATATCGAAAATAAAATCTGCGACGCGGTTTAAAGGAAAGAGGAAAACATAATATGTGTAACAAACTCAGAGATTGTGTGCGTGCAGGTACACGTCAGGTCATTGCTTACCAGGAATGGGTTGATATGTTAAATGCAGAGGACTGACATCGTTGTTTATGTTGGTTTTGGGTTGTTGGAGCCTAAAATGTTTATTTTGTGGTTTATTTGTCTCTTTTCGGTTATTTTTTTTCCCAGAAAATCAAATGTCCGTGTCACCATCCAGCTCCAGTTTTCTACAAATCCAGTTCACAAAAGGGTGAGTGTGGAAAAATTAAGATAAAATAAAAAAATTAATCACAAAAGGGTGAGTGTGGAAAAATTACATGAAATGTGAAAAATAAGGTTCTCTTTTCCTATCGGTGAGTGACTTTTGTTCTCTGCTGCCAGGATCTTCATGTCAGACTGACAGATGATCAAGATCCATATTTTTTGTTTAACCTATCCATATCAGAAGAAGATTTCCAAAGGTAATACATTGACTATGTGAGTCCTGGTTATTTAGATTTAGATGTTTGTGGAAAGATGATTTTGTTGCTCGTCGTCACTGATCGTTTCCTCCCTTTGTTGTTGTTTTAGCCTGAAAGTCCAGCAGGGGCTGCTGGTGGACTTTGCGTCGTTTCCGCAAAAGTTTATTGACCTGCTTAATTTGTGTTATTCTGAGCAGGAGTCAGATAATCCAAGGTAGGGATGAAGTGAACAACATGACACAGTTTTCTTTAATGTTTGTTTTTGGGTGAATGTTTAAGGCGTATAATTTTTTTCATTATGTTCTAAAGTATTATCCATGCTGTTAATCCCAAATACAGACCTCTGTTTTGACATGTGACTAATTCACACTTCTATCTCCTGTTCTGGAACTTTTGCATGTTTTTCTGCAGGTTTCTCCTTCACTTGTCGTGTCCATCTTCAGTTCTTGAAGGACCGGCAAACTTCTGTGTTGTAGAAACAAATGCTTTCAAGCACCTGAATCATTTGTCTCTGCGACTCGTCCAAGGCTCTGACCGGGAGATCAAGGATTACCTGGCAGTGTGTCTCTCATCTCTGAAGGTTTGTCCAGTCAACACTCAGGAGGTTGAGCTGCTCAACCTCCAACATAATTTTTTTAAGCGGCATTTTGTTATTATAATGGCATTTTGCCCGTTACCCTTCTTGTGTTTCCTCAGTACAAACAGATAAACTAATAAATGTCAGGTATTTAAAACTAGATGTTTTTCTCCCTGAGCTTCAATAAGTGTTCACTGACTAACACTGACAGATGCTGGAAGTTTATCTTGACATTTTGATTGCAGTCAGAGAAACAGGCCCTGGAGGCAAAGCTGAAAAAAACGGAGGAGGATTTGAACCGACAGCTAAACTACACTCAGCAGGTAAATAAAAAAACACTTCTGAAGGATGAGCACTGACACGATGCCAACAATCCTATTTTAGTAATTGTGGTAAAAATTTGTAGCTCAACAGACCATAACATTGTTGATATTTACAGTTCACCTCTCTGTTGTAAGACAATATGTATTTTGACAAATTCACAAATTTCAACATTAAAAAATTAAAAACACCCTTTTTTACATTTGTTTATTGAACACACGTCTTTCTGTCACAGACTCTGTCAGAAAAGACCAAAGAGTTGGACAAACTTCGCTCTGAGTGGACGTGTCAGAGCAGTTCACTGTCTTCGCGTCATTCTCAGGAGCTGCAGCTGGAGAGAGAGAAAGCATCAGAGGTGATTCCTCCAACCTGTTAACCTGTTATTTTTCCGCAAATTAATTACTTGTGAAGATAACGTTAGTTGCTGTCCAAACAACAACTGGCACAGAACCAGTAGCTTGAACCCAGTTCTGGTGATACACTGTGACTGGATCTTCTGTCTGTGCGTTTGTCCAGCTGCAGAACAGGCTTCAGCAGCAGAACGATCAGCTTCGTCAGGACCTGGAGAACTCTCATCAGAAGAGCAGCCAGCAGCTCCACAGCAGGGTGACGGAGCTGGAGACCTCCTGCAGGGAGCTGACAGAGAGGAAGTACAAGAACGAGTCGTCCATCAGAGATCTGAAGATTAAACTAGTGGGAGCAGAAGAGGTGAGAAGAGGAGGTTCACGGCAGTGATGAGAACAGAAAAATAAGAACTCTCAATCCAATCAGTGTTTGTTGACAAACTCTCATCGGACATAACCTGCATGGACAAATACATGCTTATTTTGCCACAAACTAAAGAAATATATTTAATTCACTACCAAGACTTTTTAAAGTTTCCTGTTGTTTATCAGCCACTAAAATGTCTGGAACAGCTGGATTTTTTTTGTGGGCAGAAAATCTGGCCCAACTGAAGTTCTAATTAAAAACTCTGCCATATAACGACACACATCAACCTTCTGTAATCAAGTGAAACAATGATCATATTCCTTCCTTAATTTGTGTGGGATTATGTCCTCGCTCCCCCCGTGTGTCAGGAGAGCCAGCGGCTGAAGCAGCAGGTGTTGTCTCTGAGGAGGGAGAACAGCACACTGGACACGGAGGTGCACGACAAGGAGCGTTTGGTGAGTCAGCTGCAGATGAGAGTGGCTGTCCTGGAGCAGGAGAGCAAAGACAAGGATCAGCTGATGCGTCGGACAAAGGAGGTGCTGGAGGCCACTCAGCAGCAGAAGGTGAGAGGCTGCACTTGAAAAGTCCTTCGCTCTGAGGAATCAAGTGGAAAACACTAAACACATTAGAAACACAGTCACAACAGGTCGGTCTGTGACTCACACAGCCTAAAGAGTTGATGGTTCAGTTGTCAGAACTCTGTAAAATCCCATCAACAACTGAAATTGCTCTCTTCATTAACGGAATAGAAAAAAGTTACATTTCACATTCACACACATACCGCCACCTACTGCCTACTCCTTACGCTTTGAAGCATGATTCATTTTTAATATCAACTGATGCGAATCGTCAGGGACTTGTATCGCTTTCTGTGCTTCTTTTGGTACTGTCTGTGATCTTATCCCATCAGATTATTATTTCGTTTAATAGTCACATATCTACATATTGACTTGGTTTAGTGAACACCTTGTTTTCTTGAAGTGCTCTTGCAGGAGCAGCTGTTACACCAACACAAACCTGAAGTGGAAAAACTTCACAGGAACAGAAAGAAAAACAAAAACGTTATTTATTTATGCCAGTAATGTAGTTTTAAATCTACAGTTAATTCAAACTCCATTTGTTGTTTTAATGTATAAACTTTTACTACTAAGAATGATGTTTTTCATTGACTTGTTGTGTGTTGTTGACCTACTGTTTGGTGTTTGTTCTTCTGTCACGTCCAGGATTCTGTGGAGGAAAACGCGGGCAGTAAAGAACTGCAGATAAAGAAACTGGAGTCAACAGTAAAGTCTCTGTCTGAGGAGCTGATAAAGGTGTGTGAATGGTTTCACTCTGAAGCTGTGGCACTCATGTGTTTTGGACTGTGACACATGTGTCCTGTGTCTTTGTCTGGAAGGCCAATGGTATCATCAAGAAGCTGCAGGCTGAGGTGCGAGGTCTGGTCGGGAAGATAAAAGTCAAGAACACTGTCACCGTCTCCCAGGAGAAGGTTCTGCAGGAAACCTCTGAGAAACTGAAGACGGTCGAGAAGGAACTGCAGAGCGCCCAGCAGCAGATCGTGACCAAAGATGAGCAGGTGAGGAAGAAGCCCCTCCCCTTCATCAACGGTTAATATTAAAGGTCCCCAGGGGTCATGATGAGGTGTCACAGTCAAACCTGTTCACAAGGCCATGTCCTGTTCATATCATTTCAATATGAATCAGACTATAAACTCTATAGACTTTACAAATGACTTTGACTTGACTTTTGACTCTTATCTGTATGCTGTTGATCGTGACAGATTTAAACCTGTTTTTATGATGAATATATGTCATCAGTTCTGGTGTTAAAATGTGTGTGTGTGTTTTGCAGGTTTCCAAACTAAAAGATCAGCTGGAAGTGACTTTGCAGAAGCTGAATGAGAGCAAAGAAGTGTTGAAAACAAATGAGAATGGTGAGCTTTTTCATTCATCTGCTCTCAGTAAATTAAATCAGTGATTTCCAACTACTGTGCTGAGGCACACTAGCCGTGAGAGATCATTAGGTGTCCCGTGGAAAATTATCCAATTTTACTTAACTTGTCCCAAAACTATTATTTATTTATTGTAAATAAATAATGTTTGTCAAAGCATGAAAGGAAGAACAATTAAATACTCTTCTGCTAGGTGGTAGCAGATGGCTATGAAAACTAAAAAAGAGAGAATTAGAGCTGTTGAAGAAGATCTTTGAGTGTCTTTCTTCAATTTCTGCCAGTATATCAGCGTTGTCTTTAACTAAACAGGCTGAGATTTTAGTCATTGATGAGGTCATTTAAACTAGAATATTATTATATTTCATTACATATACTTTTTGTAAGTTTTTCCTGATGATATATATGTTGCTGGCTCAAAAAAGGTTATATATTTATTTACTTTATTTTCCTGAGTAGTAAGAAAACAGTAGCGGGAAAAATGAAAAAAAACAACACATTTGACTCACCCTTGTTCTGGTCTGTAATTCACTCACAGTTATCACCTGGTTGAACAAGCAGCTGAACGAGAAGCAGCTGTGCAGGAAGCCGCCGTCTCCTGAAGCTTTGAACACTGCACTGTCAGCCACAAGTGCACTGAGGGTATGACACCGAGCTGCAGTTAGCAACAGACTCACTTTAGTAAAAACAAAGACTCCAAGACGTCTACGTACTGTACAGCTCTGTATTGTGGAGCTCTGGGCTATATGTAGCATTTCAGCCACACCACCAATACAGAATTTCTTTTTAATATAAACTATTTTTAATTATTTTAATTCTGAGGAAGAGATTAAAATAAAAATCATATTGTTGTACCAACTAAGTCAGGAACAGGAAGTACAGGAACAGAGCCCAAAACTGTGTTTATAGCACCACTCGCAGGGGCTACAGGGAACTGCATTCTCTATGTCTACATCATATTTTTCAAATTTTAATAATTGTAATAAAATCTCTCTGTGGGGTCCAGTACTGGTCCCCGGCCCTTTGGTTGACCCCTGCTCTCTGTTATATGACAACAAACAATAGAAAACTGCATACCTCTGTGCTTGTAGCCATGGTAACTGTACAATAATCAGGGCATCTGTAATTTGTTTTTATTTGATTTTATTTTTATGACCCCCCATCTAACTTCATGAATCAGCTTCTAATATATATATATATATTAATTTATTTGTTTGTTTGTTTTTCAGGCCCACTATTTTCCACAGGTGGGTAAATCGTCTGTTTCTCCTGTAACCACTGACGTCACTCCTGCTGAGCAGCGAACGGTGCAGCCAATCAACAGACTGATGTGAGTTTTTAATCTTTGCCTTCTTAGTGCCTGCACCAAGAGTCAAAATGTAAATATTTGAATATGTTTAATTATATGTATATGAATAAGTTTAGAAAAGTCAGAAACGGAGCAAAAGCCACTGTGTTCTGTGATTCAACTAGTCAGGTGTGTTGAGGATTTGACCTTTGACCTTTGTCCTCAGTGGTGACCACGCAGGTTTGGACTCCAAGTACTTTGAAAGAAGAGACGACAGCATCCCCATCTACGGCCTGTCGTCCGCTCTGCTCCATAAAGGTATGACTCTGGACTCCGACACTCTTATTCATCCCACAATGCCCCATGGGTGGCGCCATTGAGTAATGTAGCTCCTCAGACCTCGAACCCAGGACCTTCCGTGTATAAGGCAGTTATAATAACTGCTACATGATTGAACCACAATGTTGACAACCAGTGAGAGTTTATTTTGGGTGGGGATAATTCTGCTGCAGCACTGAGGCTGTGTTTACAGATGAAGAAAAAATTCAACACCTAACAATGTGTTGGGTTTTTTTTTTCTTCCAGATTTCACTCAGCGAACAAAGCCTCCCGTTCCTTCTGCCTATTTCTCGGCCTGAACCATCACCACTCGAACATCAGGTTTTTCTCCTCTACAAATCTGTTTGTGCTGCAGTTGCTCTTGGCTCTTTTTTTTTTCTTCCAGATTTCACTCAGCGAACAAAGCCTCCCGTTCCTTCTGCCTATTTCTCGGCCTGAACCATCACCACTCGAACATCAGGTTTTTCTCCTCTACAAATCTGTTTGTGCTGCAGTTGCTCTTGGTTCTTTAGTGATGGTCACTGCTGTCCTCTGATGTGTGGTTCTTTAATTAACCCATAGGCTCCAGTGATGACGAGTATGAATGTATTTAAACCTTCAAGTGTTTTTATGTTGTATAATAAATTGTAATAAACAGATGAAATTCAGTTTCTTCACAGAAAGTCTTCTGAGCTATATTGTAGCTATGTTAGCAAACATCACTTGGATTTTTAAACAAGTTTTGAACTTTTTACATTTCTTATTTCACTGACATTTTGGTTACTGTTTGAATTATTTCTTTTAACCCTCTGTTTAATTTCAAAGGTCAGCAGAGTAAATGAACATCACACTCACTCATTGTAACTTTATTGTCATCAGTGAAACATCAGACTCTGGTAAGTCAGTTTGCCACAGGTTCAGGGCAAAGGAAAAGGGCAGATAGGGTGGAGGGCGGGGTTGCTTTTGCTTAAAGAAATATGGCAAGGATCAATTGGAGGAGGGGGGGCAACATGGTCAACTTGTGGTGTTGGATGGATGAGTGGCACTGATTCTTTATGGGAGGGTGGTCCTACTTTACCAGAGGAAGGGGCCGGTGGTCCGACCCTACTGGGAGGAGCATAATCACATTTAGGCTGCTCACCAGGTCCACGAGGCTCAGTGTTCTGTGGAGGAGAGAAGACAGAAGGAGAAGTTCAGTCATTTTCATTATAATCATCCTAATGACTTTGAACTAAGAATGGAACGATTTCCTCAACTCACTGTACGATTTTATCACAATTTGTTTTAAACCAAATGAGCTTGAGACAAACTGTGACCAAATCCACTGATACAACTATAACTGATTATCAGGTTGGATGATAATGTAACACCTGCCTCCTGCAGTTTGTCTGTTCCACGTTTTGCCCCTCTGTCTTTGCCCTGAACTTCAGTGTCTTCATTTGTTCAGATCTACTTCTGAGCAGACGGCAGTTTCTCAATCATTAGATAAATTGATGGGGACGTCAGCGTGGGTGAGGCCGATGTTCCTTTGTTGTGTTAAAAATCTTTCTTTGTATGTCTAGGCGTTGGGCTGCCGTGTCACCTCACTGTTCAACCGGCTCTATACAGACGTGAACTCACCAATGGTGGATAGGATTCACAGTTTAATTTTCCCAGTCCATGTCTAGTGGTGGCGGATGAAGTACAGAAGAAATGATGCTGCAGAGAAAGAACAAGCAGTCAGTAAAAACAGTGATGTGAGGACGGAGGGTTCTTCACATCTTCGGTCCTGGGGGGACATACAGAACCAGCTGTGGTGCTGAAGCTAGTAGGACTGTAAATGGAACTTTCTTTTATTTTGAAACTTATTTTGTCAAGCCTTTTTTTTTTTAAAACAAAAGTTTAGCCATCGCTAGATTTTTATTTTGAAAAAAAAAAAAAACAGTCTTGACAAGTGCCTAAAGAGTCGTCTGTCACTGGGAGAGATTTCAGACATCCTTCAAAATAAAAGATCTGCGCTGATTGTCCTTCAAATTCTTCAGACATCCTTCAAAATAAAAGATCTCCTGCGCTGATTGTCCTTCAAATTGAAATAACCAATTCAAGCCTGGTGGTAACTGGTGGTATTTCTGTGGTGTACCATAACGACCTTCAGTCAGGTCTGGGACCTCAGGTTGGAAATACATCCTGTAATGTCCCTGTCTATGTTGTACTTACAGCTCTGTCAAAGCAGAGGGGTTTACAGGCTGGATGCGCGATTCTGGAGTCTTTTTTGCAATCAGTCTCCACCATCAGGAACTCAAAGAAGTAGCCCATCCCTGCTTCCATCATGTACTGAGAGTGTGTGAGAGAGAGAATGTTGGAGACAGGAAGTTGTAAAACCAAGGACGTCATGCAGGGATTTTATATTATATCAGCACACCCGATAGTAGTGTTGAGTGGTTAATTGTAAATCAGGATATAGGAACCTAAATCTGTGTGCGTGTGTATGAAAGGTTCTGTACCCCAGATGTAACCCGTCCCACTTCCTGCAGGACGTAGACGTTCTCTTCGCTGCTGTTCTTGTTAAATTCCTTCACAGCTTGTTGGATGTAGGACAGTGTCGTGGGGTTTGTGTGTGGAAGCATGACTGGACAGTCTGGACACATTCTACTCATCTCGGACTGGCTTATTTCTACACACACACACACACACACACATATATATTAATGTGACATTGGTGATGTGTTAATACAACAAACAAATGACAAAATATAAAATAAATGGTCAAATGGTTGGACTGTTTTCATTTAGCCCTTAGCCTGACCGACTAGTGGTTCTCAAACTATTGTACATGCAACACCGGTGCCACTTGGTGCCCTCTAGTGGTATGCAGGACATTATCGATTTTTTTTATTACATAAGAGGCCGATTGGAGTTGAACATTGATGAGTGATCACCTAGCATGGAAAATGGTCTTCTGCATGATGATTGGACGAGGTGGTTAAGAAGTACTGAAGAACTTCTTTTTATTAACAGCACTTTTGAGGAAATGTAGCAGGTGTGAGTCCTACGTGCAGCCTGAGGGGTCCTGCCAGCCTGGTGATGTAGACCATGGTGACTGGTGGGTGTTGCCGCTCTGGTCATGTGGTCTCATTATTGGGATGAGATCCTTATTTTCTTACAGGTTTTATTTGTTACTGAGTGACCGTGAGAGCCACCAGAACACCTTTACAGCTGCTAAAATCAGGAACCGCAACTGGACCCTGACTTTATTTTATATATGATTTAATGTTTGATATAAAGAAGGGAAAACGTACCTTGTTTTGTGTCGCATTTATATTGGGTTGCAAAGTCAGCATCATATACCTCCACTGTCACTGTACAGTTGGCTATGACTACCTGGAGGTAAACACAGTGACAGGAAACTGCATTGATTTTATGGACACAGAGGTTAAAGCACATTTAAGAGTTGTTGACGTCTGAATACTTACTCGCTCACCAGAGCTACGTATTCCACACTCCTCAATGGGTTTGGGGTTGACAACGTGACACTTTGTCTCCTTAAGGTCCAGTTCTAACTCAATTCTACAGCCTCCTTCCACCTACAGGTGAAAATAATTAAAGGGTCAAAGGTCAGTGACCAGGATGAGACAAGTGTTCTAGACTTTTTTTTCACGTTTGCAGCCCATTGTTCTTTGTTTGTGTTGTTTGTTCATTTTTGTCATTTACCTCTTTCATCATGAAGATCATGGTTTTTTGATAACTGAACCTAAAATGATCTCCACCGGTTTCACAGACCATCAACTGACACCGATTCAAAGTTTCGGTACCTTCTCCGTTGTGTTGCTCTTGATCTTCCACAGCATGAACTTGTATCCGTGACGATGGTTCTGGTTGATGCGATGCAGTGCCAGTCGTGCAGCTGCTGCTTCGCTATCATCACTGCAGGTCACATTTGGTGTAGGTGGAGCAGCACTGCAGAGGAGCGCCATCCAGCACAACAGCACCACCACCTGTAGAGTCCTCATGGTGAAGTCCAATCAGAGGCGTCTGCTTTGGCTTTATAAAGACATGGACTGGTCCACAGCTCTGAGTGGACAGAGGGACGAGATGCAGCGAGAGACGTGCCCAAAACGTTGGCACAGACAAAAGCAAACACAGACTTTAATCTGGATCACATTATGGTTAGCAGTCATCACTGTTTGTGTTGATTAATTATTAATGTAGGTAAAATAAACAGGGTGGTGGTGGGGCAGACTTTTTGGCTCACAGGCCAAAATAATGTTCAGAAGGGTCAGTATTGGTTGGATGTGGAATGCTGGGTGAAATAATTTTAGTGGCATCAACATAAATTATAGACCATTTGTTGTAGGATTGACATCAGCCTTTACCTTCACCTTGTACCAGGCGGGCCAGATTAGAGAACCCAGCGGGCCATACCTTTCCCACGGGCCATAGTTTGCCCAGGTCTGGTTTATAGTGAACATTTACCATATTGATCGTATAAAAAATAAAGTTACATCATTACTACTTCATTTCCTGGTCTCAGACCTGAGCTCTGTAATAATGTTGGTCCTACTGCTGGTAAAAGGAGGGACAGTGTTTGACCTTAGCCTTGATTTGAGGGACTTTTGACTCTCTTTATTTTGATCTCTAGACTTGTTTTTGACCACATCTTAGCATCCTGTACCCATCATCCCCTGGGGTCATGAGGTTGTGAGACTTTTGTTACATTCACAGGCTCCAACTGCAGTTAGAAAAAACAATTAAATCTCAAATATAAAGATAAAATAAACTGAAAAACAAAACATTTCAGCATTTTCACAAAAAGTTTATTACTTTATACAACAAAAAACCCAACAACTTTGGACTCTTCGGTCATCAGCTGCCTTGATGGCAAATATGGATTAGTGAAAACCCGATGCAGTCCTTAACTTTCACTGCTCTTTTCTGTAAACCACAAGCTGATGCCAGAAAAACGTTAAGCAAACAAACAGGTCAGGAATGGTCAGTCTCTCTGGTCCACACTGAACCCAGTCCAGGGGGCAGCAGAGTTCATTTGCACAGAGAAGGGAAGGTTTTCAGGCAGAGAACTGACAGGTATGCTAATGAATGTACGCCAACTATAGAACCACAGATGGATCTATACCATCATACCGGTCCTGGTAATTCTCTGCTTAAACGATCTGAGAACACAGGAACTTTAATCCCATGTCTGAGTGTTTCTCCACCTTCAGATCATTTGGACTGGGTAAAAAAATCCAGTTTAGAGACGACATTAAACAGTTGATGCTGTCGTCATGTCAACTACAGGTTAAATAGATGTTTTAGAAGATGTTTTGCAGCAAGTATTGGACTATAAACTGTAAATAGTTGGTGTGGCATGTTTAATTCTGCACTTATTGTCCAATCATCAGCTAATTATGCATGAGCACAGAAAAATAGCTATGAAGAAGATAAGGACAGAAGGTTTGCAACAAAAAGGGCCGTCCATGGTTCCGTCATATTTAATAATATCAGTGAAAGCAAAGTTTAGTGTTTTAAGTCAAAGACAATAACACAAGGCTCAAAATAAATCAAAGCTGACCATGCTCTGCTCAGGGAGGTTTCGTCACACTCCATCCAGTGGAACAAAAGTGGGCCATAATCGTCTTTCACATGACCCACGTACAAGCCCAAACTTGTGACTGTGTCCTGGTGTCTACAGTGTGGGTCCAAAGTTTTACTCACACTTTTTTTTTCCTTTTTTGACCTAAAGGCTGATGAGAAAAACTTGTCACACCCAAAGTCTTAAGAAAAGATGTGGGTCAATGAGAGACAGTTATTTTGACACACATGTTGACCAGGTGACCAGTCTTTCCTATTGACCATAAAAACCGGTGGTTGACAGACAACAATGACAGTGAAAATCTTTGTTAGAAGCTGTTGATCCTGCACAGTACCGATGTAGTTGAGTTCAGTTCTTCTCAGTTATCACACTGGTGTTTGAGCGAACGGCCTTTGGATGGTTTTTCACCAACGATGTTTGGCATGCATGGCTGTAGGTTTCCACTCTGACCACTTCAGACCGATAGATGTGGTGTAAACTCTTTCAGACAACAGCTCTTCATTAGGAAATTCCTGGGATTTCAGTGGTCACATCAGTGCAGTGCTCGGTGGCCCACAATTCCTAAGTTGACTGACTGTCATCACTGACACCGAGTGGGTGAAATGCTAATGGCAAAGCTAACACCAAGTCTAAGGCAATCAACATACCGTGTGTGACTTTCGTGTTTGAGGTCTTACAGACAGCGAGTTAGCCATGGAGTTGCTAACAGTGGGTGAAAGATCAATGTGTCGAAGGTAGTTGAGTTGTAGGAAGCTGTAGAACACACTGCACAACCAAAACAGGAAGTGACACAATCGGTTACTTCTACTTCAGGTCAAAGCAAGCTGCTCGCATGACCTTTGACGAGAACGAGCACATTGTTAGCTTTCTCTTCATTTGTCACAACCACTCTGAACACAAGCTAATCACGGTCGGCGGCGGTTGAACACCACTTCCTGTCAGGCGTTGATGTAAACAGAGATGAATGAATGCACAATTTCACCCAGACACACTTTGCTCCAGCAGGGGGCACTCCCGCACCTTCAGCAGTGGATCTCGTAGGCGATCTGAGAGTCGATGAACAAGCCAGTGTTATTTAGAAACATCCCTTCGACCTCTGATGTGATCACAGGCTCTGCCTCCCCGCCTTCTCCCGCCATTCTCCTCATTGTCCGTATGTCGCCCCCCTCCTGCTCCTGCTGCTGCTGCAGTTTGTTAGGGGCCAAGGTTGGAGTCATGGTCTGGCTGGGTTCTGTGGACAAGGTGTGGCTGGAGGTATCAGACAGAGCAGGACAGCCCAGATTAGTGGTGGAGACAGCAGTGGGCGGAGCTGGAGGCAGCACAGGTTTCGCCCTGTTGAGGACATACATCTCATGGCCGCGTTCGTCACGGTACTCCTCCAGTTGGGCGAAGGTGGTGGGGCCGTCAGAGTAGTCGTTCACGTACAGGATGCTCTCCTCCTGCAGAGTCACATGAATACAGCAATATACATAAATATTGTAGTATTATAGATTTACTTTTGTGTTATATTAATGAAACGGCTACCAGAATTATTGAAAATGTAAATGTTGTGTTACGCCAATGATAGTGTCATATTATAAAACTGGTCTTAGCTCCAGTAAGTTAAAGGTAGAACATTGTCTTCATGTCTAGAGGGAACAGAGTGTGTTCTCTTTTCTAGTCACAGACACTGAGTGTTCTACAGGGTTCTTTTTGGCTGAAGTTCCTTTAAAGAAATGAATCCTTCATATTGAATTCCTCAGATTAACCTGACATTTGGTTCTCTGCACCAAACATCTTCTCTGAACTGGTCTCAGTGGTCTATCATCTATGAATATAAAATGAATTAACTGCTAACTAGAATTTATTAAATTAATACATGTATTATTAAAAAATAATTACAATTAATTATATGTTAATTAATTTGTTTTGTGTTAATATTGTTAGTTATTTAATATCAATAAAGATTGAATTTATTCATATTAAATGTATTATTTATTAACACACACACATACATACACACACCTTCTCTGCTCCATCCGCCTCCTTGTCCCGTTGGTGATGTCGGCTCCAAATCATAGCGACCAGCAGCAGAGCGGTCAGAGCCAGCAGCGAGATGCCCACAGCGATGGCCGTCTGTGTGGCTGCTCCCAGGGCGCCAAAGGCCATGCTGCCCAGGGCGTACAGAGGTTCCCGGCTCACGTCCGAACCCAGAGCAGGCCCATGGTTCCTAAGCCGCGGCCACATTGGGGAATAAGGCGAGGATATCTGGGACCATGAAGCCCAGATGGAGGAGGAGGAGGAGGAAGTGGAAGAGTTAATGGCCAGCTGAAAGGTCACCCTGGCCACGCCCCCTGCATTCCAGGCTTCGCATTCGTAGAAACCAGCCTCTGCCACTGTCACATTATTGAGGAACAACATTCCGCTGCCAGTGTCTGGGTCGAAGCGCTCGCCCTCATTCTTCTGGAGAATGACCCGGTTCTCCTCTGACGGCTCCTCAGTTCCACCTCCTCCACCTCCTGCAGCCCCTACCTCATGAACCAGGCCTCGAGGAGAGAGAGACACTTTCGCTGGGGAGGCTTTTCTCCAGGTCACCTGAAACAGAAAACAGTGGTTTCCAGTCAGTCGTCTGACCACAAAGGCGGCAATTGGCAGATACACTTGTCCACGCTTCCTACCTCAGGCCGAGGATACCCCGAAGCATGACAGGACACCCTGAGGCTCTCTCCCAGACGCACGGCCAGCCTCCTGGGCTCCAGCTGCACCAGAGGGGGGATGCACACTAGGCTGTTCAGAGGGACCTCCACTAGGCTGAGGTGGGACAGACGTGGAGGTTCGGTGCAGACCAGACGCCGTTCTGCAGAGCTGAGCAGCCGCTGACCCGCTTCGTCAATCCAGCTCCTCAGCCAGTGGAGGGCGCAGTCACAGCGCCAGGGGTTATCTGCAGAGAAACAGAGGACAGAAAATTGGCAAGTCATAAGAAGACTTTTTACATATGTTAATGTGCAAATGTGCTTCAGTACAGTCGTGAAGAATGACTTCATCCGTCATATAAAGTGTGAAAAAGTTTTTCTTTTTCCTGGAAATTCCAGAAGTGGCCACTTGGGCCTCTGGCAGGTACTGAGTCTCACCTGTGACGCGCAGCACCTGCAGGCTGACCAGTGGTCGCAGTGATGCAGGGCCGATGGTGTGGAGGTTGTTTCTGCTCAGGTCCAGCAGAGCCAGAGACGTCAGACCGGCCAGAGCCTGGTCTGCTAATGTGTCTATGCTGTTGTGCTGCAGGTGGAGCTCCTGGAGGCGCTAGACAACAAGAACTCAACAGTACCATCAGTATGGTCTATCTATGGATATTAAGATATTGATATATTGATATATTCATGTTTTTATTTCCTCCTTATATTAACATACTAATATTATTATGTTTACATTCAGCGCCCCCTGTTGGGACCTCTTACCTGTAATCCACGAAAGGTGTGGTCAAGCAGACGGGTGATGTCATTTCTGGCCAGGTAAAGAATACGGAGGTGTTCAAGTCCTTTAAACATGTCGGCAGTGACCAAGTGGATCCGGTTCCCATTCAGAGCCAGCTCCAGCAGCTGGCCCTGGTTCTGGAAGGAGCCCGGCTCCACCGCTGAGATGGTGTTGTTCTGAAGGTGGGGGAGGAGAAGGTGGATGCAGTACTTAGTAGTAGCCACCAGTGTACTCCTCCACTCACCCCTCACTTTCATACTGATGTGTGTGTGTGTGTGTTTGTCACCTGCAGGTACAAGTAGTGAAGATGTCTCAGGGTCACAAGGTCATGTCGACGAATCTGCCCAATCACATTGTCCTGCAGGAAGATGGTCTGGAAGAAGATAAGCACAGACTGATGTTGAACTGTCTGAATCAAACATCCGGTGATGTCAGAGAACAAACAGACCTGTGTTGACAGTGGGACATGTTTAGGAATGTCCTTCAGGCTGGTGGAGCCACACTCCACCGTCAGGCTGTAGCAGCGACAGCTCACTGGACATGATGGAGACGCTCGACCAGGAGAGTGGGTGGTGAGGAGCAACATGGAGAGAAGGAGGAGTGACATCACAGCCATGACTCCCACCAACACAGCTGAAGAGAGGAACCAGGGTTTAATCATCACAATCTATTTAAGCCTGTGTTGGTACGAACAGCTGATGGTTGAGCAGCTGTCACTGGTTTCAACCTTATGTACAAATGTGTGCGAGTGTTTGTTTATTTCTGCAGCAGTATTTACACAGTACTCTGATCCATGCCAGTTTAATTTCAGTGAAATATCCACACACACACACACACACACACATATACTGTATCCAATGTCTGACCATTTCACCAAAACACAGGGAATACAAGCACTAAACTAAATGTACTGATCAGAAACAGTTTGTTTTGGTAGAACCCTAAGTGTTCAAGGTTCAAGGTTAAAGGTCGATGTCCAGGGGATTCAAAAGTTTTCTAGTCTCTAGTTTCAAGTTGGGGTTGAGGAATAAAGAGAAATAAAACCAAAATAAGTCTCAAACGTCTGAGTCTGAAGACAGATGTTAGCTACATCCAACGTGGTAATATTTGAGGTTAAACTTTTGAGTATTTTTTCCATATTTTACTAACTCCCCAGCAGATTTTAAGTGACCGTTATAACTGTGCTGTACAACATTATTCATCTTCGTCTTCATCTGCCTTTTTCTACTAAAGGTTTAAGTGAATACTGGGCCATGAGCAGAGTGAACATGAAGAACACCATCCTCAGGAGGGACACAGATCTCATCGCACCACCTCCACTCCTCAACACTGACTCTCACAGGACTGAAGTGCACGTGTATTGGCTCAACAGAAACAGTACCCAGCAGCTCAGCCGACCTGGGTCTGCAGCAGTGAGAAGAAGGTTTATTTGTTTTTTATTCTGCAACAGTGAAAACACACCCGATGAATACAGAGTGTGTGGTTTGATCTTTGCTTTGGCAGCGCAGAAACCTTTCACAATTTTACAGAATTACTGTCGCATGAAATTGATTGAAAGACTGAAATATTCTGGAGTGCAGAGGAGCTGAAGGGAAAACGGTTTTTAAAATCTAATATGTTGAACCTGTTAAACTTGTTTTGTAATAATATAATATATATATACATGTATATAATAAAACCAAAATAAGTCTCTAACGTATATATTACATATATATAGATATGGGGCAGTAGTACACACACAAATACAAATATATACAGTGATTGTCTCAGATTTGTGTTTTACCTTTTTACATCTATTTAGAAATGGCTAGTGTTCAGACTGCAACAAATATCAAATGACGTAATGTTATATTAAAAAGTGATGACAGATGAACGCGTCTTTTTCAACCTTTCAACGTATATTAACAAAGTGTTTACCAGGGGTTTAAACTGTTGACTAATAAACCAGATTGAAAAAAGAGCCTCTGTTGTTAGTCAACATGTGGTGTGCATTATTATTTTAGACAGACTTTGTACAAAGATCTGAGTAATCTCAGAGCAAATCATCACTCATGTATCTTCCAGTGCCACAGTGTGCGGGCAGCAGAGGATTAGAATAATAACTAGTGTTGATAAGATATTTGACTTGAATGTCCCTGAAAACTATTAAAATGAAAGCACAGAGAATGGACCCTGCTAGTGAAAAAAATCTTCCATCATCTGTTTGTGCTCTGATTCTCTGGGTTCACCATTTTCATGCCAAAGATAAATATTCACAGATTATCACAAGGAAATTCAGGTAAATGGTTTCAACTCACTGACTATGGCATTCGCATTGTATTCATAGCTCCCCCTACAGTGGAGGAAGGTACGCTTCTGTATATGCTTTGTGTTTACAAACACCTTCCGCACCCACCTGTAAAATAATCGTTTATATTATTGACGTGTTTTGTATTATTTCTTACGGATGTCGCCACTTTCACTCACTGATAGCTGCTTTAATTCTCACCACATGTGAATGCTAGGTGCTGCCCTGCATTTATGAATTGCTCACACAGCGCATTATATCAATCACTTCGATTGATGGCTATCAAAAACAGACTGAAGCGCAGATCAGTCACTGTGTGTGATGCAGCTGGACTACAGTGGTGTGATGTGACAGCTGAAGATGCTGCAGCACACCACATCACATCACACGCTGCTAAACTGTGTTTAACCCCTGCTCTGAACATCTGAACATGCAGAAGGTAAGAACAAAACGTACCGGCAGTGAAGAGCAGAGCAGAGCAGAGCGCAAACGATCGCCGGATCAAGGAGAAAGGATGGATGGAATCAGGCAAGGATACATTGAAGCGAAGAAGGAAGGAAGAATAGATGCCAGGGTAGAAGGATGGAGGGAAGGAGGAGGTGCTGCCTGTGCTCCTCCTCCTCCACCACCTCAATCTCACGCTCCTAATTATTCCCTGCTATTGTCAGGTCTGGAGCTGAGAGCTCTGAGAGCAGAGCTGCTGCTGTTTCTATGCATCCTCCCAGCAACACACGCACACGCACGCACAAAGGTAGAGAGGGAGAGCCGGGCCTTTGTTTCAACAACATGTCAGTTACTGTAGCTGTTCTCTGGTTCACTTTCTCACCTCATCACCATCATCATTAACTACTAAGTACGTACACCACAGTCCATCCTAGATTATTCACAAGAAAAACATAATCGCAGCTTCGTGTTGTTATATGAATGATGTTATATGAATTCTATCTATCTATCTATATATCTATCTATATATGTATATATATATATACATATATATATATATATATGTATATATATATATCTATAGATATATATATATACATATATAGATAGATATATAGATAGATAGATCTATCTATCTATATATATAGATAGATAGATCTATCTATCTATATATCTATCTATATATGTATATATATATATCTATAGATATATATATATACATATATATATATATATATATATATGTCCGTCTGTCTATCTTTCTATCCAGCTTTGTTTTATTTTTTAAATGTTCCGTTCGCGCATTTAGAAATACAGTACTCGTTTTCTAGAATCGTTGTTTCAGGTCGGACACATTTTTTCTGTGAACCCCCACTGTCCGACCTTTAACTACTTCCTGTTCTTTTACAGCAGCGGCGGCTGTGAATGATGGCAGCGAACATGTTTGTGTGGAGGTTGTGTTTTCTCCACAACAGCAGTAGTAACACATTTTCCCGGTAAGAAATCACACACACGTTCAAATACGACGTCGGTTTGTGTGGCGGAGACATTGGCGGGCGGTAGAGACAACGACCCGTGTTCGTTAAATTGCAGAATAACAGACAATTTCCATTGAATTTAAGTGTGCCAAAGTGCCGTAGTTGTGTTAGATCTCGATTGTTTTTGTAAAGTTACACAATAGCTGTCATGATGGGGAATATTTTGTGTATGTACAGTAGGGTAAACTTTTTTTACTAATTTAATCCAGCGTATGTCGACCTCGTGCATTTAATTACAGTAGAATTAGAATAAAATTATGTAAAAAAAAAAATAGCACAGTGTAACAAACGTAAAAATCTATGTACAAATAAGAACATCTAGTACATATTGATACTTGTACATAGATTTGTATTGTGTAAATGTTATGTATACCGTACTGTACAACAGAATCTGACGTTTATATCACACATGTATTAATCAATTATCTGGTGGTTTAAGAGCTATTTTAAAATGGATCCTATTTGAGTTTTAAAATTAAAATTTTAATAACACGTGACATTTACGGCCCTAAAAGAATTATGTTCCAGCTATTGTTCTTACAGAATTGATATACTTGATAGTTTATGCAAATAATTTTTGTCTTTTAGTGTTAAGGGCAGGCTAATGTACAGCTATTTCAATTTCTGTGTTTCCTGACAGATGTGTTCGCTCCGTGTTGCCGCTCTGTGTTCAGGCCTCGTCCTTCCACACTCACACAGCACAGTTCAACTCGAACAGAACATCCATTGCCTGCCACAGTCAGAGGAAATTTGAGCGTCTCTATCCACTGTTGCTGGTGCGACCTGATGGATCGACAATCAACATCAGATACAAGGAGCCCAAACGCATTTTTTTAGTTAGTGCTGCTCAAAACCTTAATAAATACTGCCTGTTTATCTTGTGTCACTGATCGTAAGTTTACATGGGTCTGTGTTTGTTCTTTTTCAAAGATGCCGGTGGATATTTCCACTCTATCTGAATCAGATCGCCGCTTGCGGCTAAAGAAGAGGGAAGTTAAGAAAACAACAAAGGAGAAGGTGGTCAAATATGAGGACGACTTTGAAGCTGAAAAATATAGTCAATTCTGGAAGAAGAAATGACTGTAATGATGGGGAAGAACACTTCAGCACATAGTTATGAAAATCACAGCAAAAAACTTTAGCAGGACTCTGGATACTTTTTCCTGAAGATTTACAAATAAGAGACGGTTGATTTAAACTGTTAATGTTAAATTGTTAAGTCAATAAACTCTTACAAAGCTCAGTTTTTGTGACACATTTTTATTTAACTAATAAAAGTCTATTTTGTTCATGTACTTATCATAAAATGAAGAAAAATGTTTTTACTGTATTGCTGTTTGAGCTATATATTTATGTATTAGCTTATAACAAGAAAAGGTCAATCATTTAAAATGTTGAATTACTGCTGAAAGAGTGGTTGGTTTATATTGAACAAGGTATCAAAAAGGACAGTCTTTTAAAATCAAACATTCTTTCATCGGTTCATTTTGTTGGAACGTTGAAGAATACCGTCCTTTATTACATGACAAGTAAAAACAAACACCAACCTTTGCTTTAGTTTTGCACAGGGCGTGTAGAAAAAAGCAGACGTAGTAAAATAAATGACTAAAACACTTTCAGCAAGCCGGTGTAAAGGTGTTCAAAAGAGAACGACACCGCCTCCAGCAGATGGCAGTAAAGAAAGCCTATGGATGTTAATGCACCGTCAACCCATATTGGGAATAAGACTTGTTTTATCGCGAGATTTCCGTTCTGTATCACAGTGTCCTTGTCCTTTGCGAAAATGGGTTTCTTCGACTTTCCCGAAGGCACGGACTGCGTCCAAAAACTATGGTTGTATACAAAACTATCTACAGCTGCAGGTGAATGTGTACCTTTAATAAAATTCCTTTCTGACTCTTAACGCTGTTTCCTTACAACCGGGTTATGAGTAAGAGTTAGCGAACGTTTCCAGTGCTAATGCTAACTCAGCTACCAGCTTAGCCACCGAAGCTAAAACACAAACACAAACAGGTCTTCATTATTATTGAATTTTTATCGCTCAATATTATTCAGAAAAGTGTGAGATCCTGCTCAAACAGTGATTGCTTATATACGACCAAACCAAAAAGAATTGTCAGTAACCACAACAACAGGCGCTGTTGAGTGTTTGGTAGCAGATAGATAAACAAATGACAATTAATGGTTTAACTACACAAATTATGCCTCAAATAACCTAAAAAAAGCTACTTAACACCATAGGAATGGTTCCAGGGTTAGTGCTTTGCAGACTGATTAACTATTATATTATCTCATTAAACTGATATAAACGTCACTTTTGTTAGTGCTTTGAGACAACGTTGTTCAAACCGAGAACACCGGACTATTTTATTAATAATTATTATTAAGGAGCTTCAGCACTGTTACTGTGGATTAGTAAGAATTAACAGAGGGCATGTGATTGAAAGCGATGTCACTACATATACAGTGCAACATACATATTTATGCAGGATCTGCATATGTTTGACGTTACCCATTTTTTTGCCATCACTGCCAGCAGTGGGCTGGACTCAGTTCATCAGTGAGCAGAGTCTGGTCCTCGTCTTATCCTGTCCATCAAGGTTTTAAATGTGTATTCTTGTATTTGTGTGTTTGCTTTTTCAGGACTGGTCACTTCTTCATATCACTTAGTGTTTTCAGCAACTGATTCGACCTTGACAGCACTGAAGAAGACCGGCCCCTTGACCTTAACTATTGGTACATTTTTAATAATTCTTGATGAAATTGTTTCATTTTAACTCTTCATCTTATTGGCTACCTGGTCATGTTATTTAAATAAATAACGACCCATGGAAATAGTGAATGACCATCACACATCCACATCCATTTATGTGACTCACATTGTTCAGTTTAAATGAGTTAGTGCTGAAGTAAAGGAGTTGTAGTTTGTTGTGGAGGATTATCAGCCTGTGTCATGCTGACGTGTGCCCCACCAGCCTCCATGGGAGCCATCTTTGGTGTCACCACGTGTCTCAGTGCTCAAACCCTTAAAAATCCAGAAGACCCACTGAACTACTTCCTTGGTGGTTGTGCCTCTGGGATTATCCTGGGAGCCAGGAGTAAGTGTCTGTTCTTACAGAACTATCAGTATAATATGACACTGAATGCAGATTAATTTAAATTAATTTTAAACATTGTTATTTACCCCCCCCTCCAATCTTTTCATCCTCAGCCCGTAGTGCAGCAACAGGAGCCAAAGCGTGTCTGGCTCTGGGAGGACTGGGTTACATTTCACAAATGGCTAAGAATGAGAAGTGGAATATCCTTCAACCTCCAAAACACGGACGAATGTAATATTTAGTGTATGTTTAATAAAAAATTCCATTTAATAAAATTATTCAGTTACTCAATTACTCTTCATCTTCACAAATGAGTCCCTTCATTTTAAAATTATTCAGTTACTCAATTACTCTGAGTCCCTTCATTGGTTTGCAGTCAGGCATGCTAATCCGATACTAATTTCCCAATCACACCAATGTATAATTAATGAATTGGTCATTTCTGTCAACACTATGAGGTACTCTTGTTCTGGAAACATCATTTGCTGTACAATATGACCAGACAATTAGACATTTTTTTCCTCAACTAGCCGCATTTGGACAAGACATAATTATAAAATATAATTTTATTTTATTGACTTGTCCCCATGTAGTGGGACACGGCAGTAACTCCCTACCCGCATTTTAAATTCAACCCTATAGCTGTTCATATTACTTCAGTTCTATGGTGTTTTATTTGAGGTTTTGTTGCACAATATTCTCATAGGTTTGGCATTTTATGTCATGATTATGACCTTATAAACTCAGGTTTTTGTGTCATGATTTAGTGTGTCATACTGTACATGTAATACTATAAATATACATACATACAATACATAAAAACATATGCCATGAGAGAAGTAGAGCAAAAATGTACATGGTGTCTTTGTATGCAATTTTACCCCAAACCCAGTTGTTCAGGACATAGAGAAGGTCACATGTGTTAGACAGTCTCTTCTTCAAACACAGAGAAGGATTTGTCTGTCCACACTTTACCCTCCTCCCCCTGCAGCCGCTCCCTCCCGTCTGTCCCTCAGGATTACACTCTTCGGTGTCCTGCGCCCTCTGGACTCCCAGGACTCACTTTAATTTGTGAGAGGTACAGTGAGGACCATGGGTCTGCTCAGCATCTTTTCCTCCATCAAGGCCAGAGCAGAAAAGTTCCTGAATGAGAAAAATGTGGTGACAGATTTTCTGGGAACGTTGGAGGAGAAGACGGGGGTAAAGAAGAAGATCATAGCAGCAGGTACGCTGGTCCGTTTCCTCCACTGGTTTTTCTTTCTTTACTGTCTTAATGTTTCTGTTGGTGTTGTTGAAAATGTTTGTTTCTGCGTGGTAACATGCATAAGAACAGGATTCACTTAATCCTGGTGTGAACACAAAGCCAGATGTCACCTGTGACAGTCAGAGCTGCTGCCTGACAACCCAAACCTGTCCATCACCCACTCCTTTTCTGTGCTGCTGCTGCTGCTGATATTTTTGTGTGTCAAAATTTGGAAATTATTGAAAATTTATCACGTTATGCACCGAGACACAGCAGGTGATTTTTATAGTAAAAGACACATTTGTATGTACACTGTACACCAGAGGCTGGGAAACCCTCCACCTGGAATGACAACCATCGCACCGCAACACTGTCTGACAAATGGATCAATGTTATACATGTTTAGCATGTATTTATTCAGCTTTATGTTTATTTTAGTTAATGACTGTTTTATTATCATTACCATGGGGGTTCCCCGTCCGAGCAGGAAACAGCAGTCTATTCATACCACACTGATGCTCACCAGTAACATACTCACACACTCATACACACACACACTCAGAGACAGTGCATGATGTCAGAGTAGTGCCTGGTGCACATTCTCCCCAGTAGAGTCAGTTAAAGCAGATAATCCTCACAGTCCTGCAACAGAGCAAAGCGGCCTCATGTGTGAACCACATAAGCTGATCAGAGGTAGGTCGTTCCTTTACGTGGTTGCCCGCTGAGCTCTCAGCCGACTTCGGAATACTGTCAGTCATTCCAGCAGGATCGTGAGACCTTCCTCCTGTGATATTTGATGAGGTTAAATATTGGTTTGTTTTAACATTTGAAGTTGAGTGTTTTTGTGTGTTTATATCCAAACAGTCTGGACTGTGCTCTTTCTCCTCTGTATTTTTTAGTAAGACAAAATACATACTGCATATTATGTGGTGAATTTCTGGTCCAGACCCAGGTCCCTGCTACAGATGGTATCATAACAACTGACCAAACAAAACAAAGTACAGTTCACCAACATGCATTCTGTGTCACTTGTATTGACTTTCAATCTTCCTCTCTATGATTTTTTTTACTCCTGTTACTGACTACTTGTTGTACTTCAAAACAACACGAAGAACTAACACTGAACGCAGCTAAGACCGGAGTGACGCATCTGTCACTCCGGCTGTGCCCCTCACCACCTTTATTTGCATCTGCACCGCCCTCATATACTTTACATCCACTCCTGCAGAATCACAGTTTCATACACTATCTCTCCTCTAACTTTCTCACTCCTTCTCTAACCCACATATTTAGAGTATTTGTACAGACATGAAGTCAAACTGATGTTCACTAACTCTCCAAAAGTCACTTTTTTATGTTTTAAATGTTTTTTTCCTAATCTACCTTTTCCGTTTAATGGATGATAATGGATGAATGGATGGATTCCTCCACGTCCAGGTGCTGTCACACTGACTGGACTCTACCTGGTGTATGGATATGGTGCCTCACTCATCTGCAACCTGATTGGTTTTGTCTATCCAGCTTACTACTCGTAAGATTTCCTTCTTTCAGTTTCACGTTCTCAGTAACAACACGTTACTGTTTAAAGGGTTTAATTCTGTTTCCACTCTCCAGAATCAAAGCGATCGAAAGTCCGAGCAAAGAAGACGACACAAAATGGTTGACCTACTGGGTGGTGTACGGCGTCTTCAGTGTAGGGGAGTTCTTCTCAGACATTTTCCTCTACTGGTTTCCTTTTTACTATGCTTTTAAGGTGAGAAACTGAACAGGTCAGCAGGTCAATTGTCATCATGTTAGAAAATAAGACAAACACTTTGTTGTGGAGGAAAAGAGAACCCCTGTGGTGAAAACTATGGATGTAGTGAAGGAGGACATAGAGATGGTTGGTGTAGAAATAGAAGTATTAGAGTAAGGAGGAGGCAGATGATCAGCTGTGAAGACATCCGTTCTCACCTAAATCTTCATCTGTTCTACTAGTGTCTCTTCCTGCTCTGGTGCATGGCTCCGTTGTCGTGGAATGGCTCCCAACTCCTCTACAACAAAGTTGTTCGCCCCATCTTTCTTCAGCATGAGGCCACAGTGGACAACATGGTGAGCGACCTGAGCGGTAAGGCCATGGACGCTGCTGAGAACCTGACCAGAGAAGGTAACACACCAGTGCAGCGTAGTAACTCTGTTAGCTCCACACATCTGTATCTAAGGACCTCTTCCCCTCAGTTTTGTCCACACTGGTGAAGAATAAGTCTCTGGTGAGTCCAGCACCTGAGTCTGAGCCTAAAAGTTTACCCAGCACATCTACTGAAACTAAAGGAGTGTCTACACAAAAGAGTGAAGATCCAGGGGTACGTGTCGGTTTTCTCTGCCTGAAGATGTCATTTAAGAACATACAGTACTGCACACATAAATATATATACATGTCCACACACTAAAATTATATTTGTACTCATAAATATGGCTAATAAACATTTCCTGAACACAAGTCTTGATGGATGCTCATCCAGATGTGCTCTGACCCTTTCAGCTTTTCCTGGGTTGACCAGCACAAGGTAAGTCACTTGGTTCACTGTTAGCTCCATAGTTCACTTATAAGAAAGAGACAGAGTTGAACAAAGAACTCATGTTTGTTATTGTTTAAAATATAATCATAAATGAAAACCAGGCTTTATTACACAGTTATAAAAGTGGTTTAAAAACGATTTTTTTCCAACATTAGGAGCATTCCAGCGATATACTGTATGTCGACAATTCTTAGAAAAGAGATTATAATAAACACTGTCAACTATAAAAGAAATTTACTGTCAAATATGTCAGTACTGTACATAGAGCACAGTGCAGCAATAGTGTCACTTACTATACAATGCAAAAAGAAAACAAGTAGGCACTATTTTAATCAAACTTAAAGTCAAGAGAAAAAAACCCCCATTACAAATAAGCCTTTAAACCTGACCTGCATAGGAGTGTTGCATATTAGACAAGTGACTAACGTAGTGTAAAAACAGGATTAAACCAGCTCTGCTGTGATCCTACTGTACTGCCGTTGTGTTAAGACATAATGTACAACAGTACATCAGTTGTTTATTACTTCACATTTAATTTCCCAGGAGACAGAAGAAGGAAAGGAAGAAGGATAGAAGGAGGTCAAGGAAGTGGAGGAGAGACATTTATCTTCCCAACCAGCACAAGAAATATCGCACTGCACAAAATCAGTTTGATATACTGTATTCGCATCAACGTTTCACTTCTATCATTTTTTTTCAAGCTGCTGCAATGATGAGTATATACACTCTGTGCATACTGTCTATTTTTGTGTTGGTGTATAAATACTGTTACATTTATACTAGGACAGACTGTAGTAATTAAAAATCACAGCACAGCCAAATCAATCATTATTATTGATAATAAGTTATCAGAATAAAGGACAATACTGACAAAAACGTTGTGCAGTCCCAATCACATCCAGTTATAGTTATCCTTCAAGTATTAAAACATAACGAGTGCTTTGATTTTAATTGATTTTTCTTTCTATCGGTTCATTTTTAAACAGCCTTAAGCTACGTTCTTTTAAATGTGCTTTGTAAATATTGTTGGGTTACAATGTGTCAGAAAGGAAATTAATTTGGATTAAAGAAACTGTTAATAAATGTGTCTATTTTACAAAGTGATGTACATGTTTTAGATATTGTAGTCTGTGGCAGAAAGTACCAAAGATCCCTCAGCTCCCGGGCGCTACTGACAAACCCCACAGTGCTGAGGACAAGGTCCATTACGCGCAAATGTGACTGTGTACGTAATAATAATAATAATAATACGGAGGTTATTTTACATAATGTATTATTATTATTTAGATTCTTCTCCTACATGAAGTCTAATACATGTACATTGTGAATAAAGCAAATGATTTGTGAGAGATAAAAGTGGATGACGAGAGAAACTCTGGAAATCAAGTGTAAGGACAATTATTTCTGACCAAGCGCTCTAGTCTAGACGATAAGAAAAATGTGACCAAAAGATGACAGAAAAAATAAGGCGACTGCTATAAATTCCGGTTACCTTTCAGTCTTCAAAGACACAAGTTACCACGAAATTTACAACAAAGGAAAGGTACAGTCGTTTATACACTCTGTAGACACAGCTAGACTGTATAATAAACGAAAATGTAATGCAATTTTACGCAAGTGTGGTTTTTACAGCAATAAAAATTGTAAGTATTGAATCACAGGCATAAACGTTAGTTTCTGTATTGTTTTGAAAGTACTCCCCGGAAGTAGTATATACTTCCGTTTGATTGGCGGTGGCAGCAGCCTAGTAGTGAACGACTGTAACCAAGCCGGACCGTTTACTCAATCATGGGGCCGACAGGTGAGTTAAGCTGAAAGCGTCTTTCTGTCGAATCGATTGTGATAATAGATAAAGTATATGTGAAGTGTGTGCATGTTTGTTCCCCTCTCTACTACTCTGTCACCATTCATAAAGGGTAGAGCTCAGTGATGCTAACGTTAGCTTAGCTCAGCAGCATGATACAGTCAAGTAATTCATTCACAGTCTACACCCACAAACATTGGATTCAGCTCAAGCGACAATAACCCTAGCAGATTTTAATCTATTGTCGGTAGAATTGAATTCTGTTTGTATTACCCTAGCAGATTTTAATCTATTGTCGGGAGAATTGAATTCTGTTTTATTGTTTTACCGTTAGCAGGTAACTGTTTTGCTTATTCACCGAGCTAAGTATATGTTGTGTTCGTGTGTATGAACTGAGTTAACCGACTGAATATTCTTCCGCGGAAGACCCTTATTATTGTATAAAATAGTGAATTCACTAACTAAATACTTTGCGAGTTCATAGTTGCTAAATAATTTATTATGGCTTCTGTTATTATTAAGCTTCTTTAATTGTGTGTCAATAAAAACGTTTGTGTTTTCTGTCTTAAAAAGCGCATAAGACAAGACTATTTAAGTTCCATTGTAAAGTGACTGCTGCACAGATTCATGTTTTGAAAGCAGAATGGCTTGCAATTAAAAGCATATTTTTCAATTATTTTTTGTGATAATCATTTTTGTCCACCAGCTAAAGAGCTTCAGTTTATTTTCATATGAGGTAAACTATAACAACATATAAATGTCTGGTCAACATTTAACTTGTGTTGTTAGTCATCAGTTACTAGACTTGACGTGACACATCTCACTATAACAGTAGGGCATGTCACGAAAGTCACCCTGATATTTTTCGGAGTGTCCTCTGTCCAGTGGCCACACTCATGGCCCCACATATGGCCCAATTATTGATAACTGTTATACTGTCCTATAATCTCTAACTTTCAAAACAGAACCATCCATTACAGGGTATCCATCCTCAATGATGTTTTTTTTCCTTATTCTTCCAGGTGAGGTTGTGTTTGGCAGCCAGGTGCCAGTCTGTTCTAAGAACCAACTGCGTTGGGACCTGACCCCTGAGGAAATAAAGCAGCTGTCTGATGAGCTCATCACCAAAACCAAGACGGTTTTCGACCTCGTGGGAGCCCTGGACCTGGACAGTGTGACCTTTGAGAACACACTGAAGGCCCTCGCTGACGTGGAGGTTGAATACACAGGTCAGTATCACCTGTAGGTCTCGTACTGTTTCTAGATTTGTCCCAGACTAAATTTGAGGAAGTATGTTCACTTCAACTAAAAGATGTTGATTATAACTAATGAAACAAATGACTAAAAAAGCCACAATGTTTGTTTTGACTGATCCTTCAGATTGTTCTGTAACTGCTGACAGTTTGTAGGCGATGAGTCTAAACCTGCAGAGGCCAAAGAACAGCACTGTTAAATAGACATTGTATTGTGGGTTATGCAGTGGAGCTGTGAGTCAGCACAATGGGTGTGTCAAGGTAGAGGCTATTCAGCAGTTTAGCAGTAAAAACAAAAAAACTGTAAAGAACAGCTAAAGTAACCTCTTCAACAAAATTTAAAATCTTTGTTCAAACATGAAGATGTTCCCTTTGAGAACATTCTACAGAATCTCTTTGTTCTGCAGAATTCAAAGTGTAATGAAAGCTTTTTTTGATTGTTGTTCTTGTATTTTAAGTTTTTGTGTCCTTTATGTGAAATGTTCCATTTTTTTTCTCTCTGGAGACAAATTAGTCCTAGTCAGTTTCTCCATAATCACGTAGTATTTTACTGGTACTAATTTGTGTCGGGACTAACTCAGCCTGGAAATGAATGCTGAATCTAATTGTGAAGTCATACTTTTTGTATACCATGTAGGACTTAGACTTCAAAAGTCCATCACAGTAATAGGACAGGGTCCTCCCCTTCGTTAACTTCCTGCTTCCTTAATACTTTATTATGGATCGACACATTTCCCCTGATCTCTCCTCCTTTACAATTGCAGCCAAAGTACTTAATTTGTACTTCGAAATACAAAAATAGATTTTCAGTTACTCTGTAGTGAATTTCTTACGACACCCCAGGGAATGGTTCCAGTTGATCAGTAATACTCCTCTCAATGTGACAAAGTACATGTTACAATAAGTAAAAAACTATTAAATAGGACTAGACTTGATTGATGCCACACTGGGGAACGATGAATTTAGCCACAAAAAAGAAGCAATCACATCACAGCAGAGCTTTTATTTAAAACAACAGCCAACACCAAAAAAGAAGTAACAGAACGTTCACACTTTCCATGAGTCAGGAATTCTGCCTCTTCTGCCTCAGTTCAGAGGAACGTGCTGGACTTCCCTCAACACGTGTCTCCGTGCAAAGATGTACGAACAGCGAGTACCGAGGCTGACAAACGCTTGTCTGAGTTTGATGTGGAGATGAGCATGAGGGAGGACGTGTACCAGAGGGTCGTCACTCTAGAGGTAAGTTCTCTCTCTCTTTCTCTCTCCTCAGAGGATTTCTAGGCACCCTTAAAACTGTGTTAATATTCCTGCTCTGTGTGTGTGTGTGCGCAGAAAAAGGTTGATGCTGAGAGCCTCTCTGCAGAGTCTAGGCGCTACATGGAGCGACTCATCAAACTGGGGAAGAGGAATGGCCTCCACCTTCCCACAGAGACTCAAGAGGTAGGAGGAGATGTTTTCACCCCATTCTTTTTGTATGTAAATACATAAAAACAACACATTTCCTAAAGAAGACCGATGGTTCAAATCCCATGACCAGCAGAGATTTGGTATTATTATTTAGCAACAAAAAAATAAAAAAAATAACTGCTCCAGTGTGTCTGGTGTTAACAAAGTCTTCTAGAAGGGTTGGTGATCAGGACATATTTTGATATGTTTGTCAATATATACAAAGATGTCATCCATCTCTCCATCTTCTCCAGGTGATCAAAACCATCAAGAAGAAGCTGAGCAACCTGTGCATAGATTTCAACAAGAACCTGAACGAGGACACCACCAGTCTGTCCTTCAGCAGAGAGGAGCTGGGTGAGTGTGCAGCTCAGAGGTGACTCTCACAGAGCCATGCCTCATCGTCATGCTCCTGACTTCAGACCTGTGTGTGTTCAGGTGGCCTCCCCGAGGACTTCCTCAGCTCCCTGGAGGCTGACGGTGAGAAGCTGAAGGTCACCCTGAAGTACCCTCACTACTTCCCTGCCATGAAGAAATGCTTTGTCCCTGAGACTCGCAGGAAGTTAGAGGAGGCCTTCAACTCCCGCTGCAAAGAGGTAGGAAATAACAAAATAAAATAATTCCTTGTATTCTTTGTGGAGGTGAAGTTGCCCGCTAGTGCAGACTGCTGCACACTTTAAGTATTAGCATTAGATAAAATGTGAAACAAAAGCACTTTTTTTTTAAAATGTCAGTCTCAAATGTGTACAGTCATTAGTCTACTAAGACATAAACATGTTTTTGTTTGTCTTAAATAGGGCTGTATATTAACAAGAATCTGTCGATACAGAGTAACGGCACAATCTATTGTGATATTCTGCGATACCATAGGCATGATGATATTTTGAGTTTTTTTTTTAAAACAATTTAATTATAGTCAAACTCTCATTATAGAAAACACTCAATGCTGTTCCATCTTAACATCAGGTTACTAACATTGGAATCACTAGTGAAGGAAGAAAAGAAAAATAAACCAACACGACTTAACATGAACCAACAATAGAAATATTTGACTGGGATTTTTTGTTGCAGCTTTTTATATTTATACTGATCGAGATTATTATTATTTTTAGACATAATAATTAAGTAAGTAGAGAATCAGCTACTGATGATAATGAGCTAAAATAACTTGGGTCTTAAGTCTTGCAAATTTTACTTATTTAAAGAAGTTGTGTATCTTGTAAATATGGTATGGTATAATGTATGTGTAGAGTAATTCTCAAATGTATTTCCCTCAATTCTCAAGTCATTCTAAAATAATAAGTACATTTTCTACAGGTTATAATTGGATTAAAAATAACTATCTTTTTTTTTTATCAACTCTACACTGGAACATAAGAAGATTCCATAGTGTTTCTGGAACCAGTGTTTCTGGTTCTGCTAAAGTCCAGTGTATGTTCGCAGGAGAACGCAGCCATCCTGAAGGAGCTGGTGGAGCTCCGTGCTCAGAAATGTTCTCTGCTGGGCTTCAGCACTCACGCTGACTTCATCCTGGAAATGAACATGGCCAAGTCTGGATCAAAGGTGGCCACCTTCCTGGGTGAGTCCTGCACACCGTGGTACTGGTACGGTTAAAACCATATGACTCTGAGTCTGAGTCAGTCTGCAGACAGAGGGTGATTATTATGGTGACTCAAAAGCGCATTTTTACATTTCTCTGGTTTAAGGTTCAATTAGAAATTGTTCTTTTTGTTTCCTTTGTCATTTTGTGTTATTTATGGATTGATTATTATCACAGACCTGTTATTGCCTTAAACTACAGAAGTTATTTAGTGTTTTGAATTTGTTTTCATTCCACTGTCTTCTCCTGTCGTACATCACATTCTCAGGCGTATTAAATAATAAAATCCTGTTTTAAACATTGTCCTGCTGCTGGAGCTCAGAAAAAAGCTCAGCTGGAACACCTTCACACGGGGCTCTGTTTTCTGTCTGATTGTTTCATCAGCTGCTGCTGGAGACTCTGTGTAGAAATTATAGTTTAAATCGTTTTATTTTATTACAGATTTTGTCTTTTAACCTGTCAAGCGTTGACTCTGTTGTCTGCAGAGGAACTGGCTTCTAAACTGAAGGCTCTGGGTGAAGAAGAGCGCGCCGTCATCCTCAAGCTGAAGGAGAAGGAGTGTAAGAAAAGAGAGCTGCCTTTTAATGGAGAGCTGCACGCCTGGGACACCCGTTACTACATGAACCAGGTCAGAACTGGGTCAGAACAAGAACACCTGGGGAGGATTTTTATTTTTTTCATTCTCTCTTCATTAACCTCTGTTCCTAGTCCACGTCCTAGTCTCATGTTGCCACTCAATTTTCGTTTCTTCACGGTTTGAACACTTCCTTCTTCAACCACCAGGTGGAGGAGACTCAGTATGCTGTGGATCAGAACCTACTAAAGGAGTACTTCCCCATGGAGGTTGTGACCCAGGGTCTGCTTGGCATCTACCAGGAGCTGTTGGGTCTGTCCTTTGAGCTGGTGGACAGTGTCCCCGTCTGGCATCCTGATGTCACTCTCTACTGTGTAAAGGACCGCAGCAATGGTCAGGTGGTGGGACAGTTCTACCTGGACCTCTACCCCAGGTCAGTGTCTTTACTTCTCTACCATCATAGTCCACTTCAATCTATTACAGTGAAAACTGATCGACAGCGGTAACGTACGTCTCGTGCAGGGAGGGAAAGTATGGACACGCCGCCTGCTTCGGCCTGCAGCCAGGCTGCCTTCTCCCCGACGGCTCCCGACAGATGCCGGTTGCAGCCATGGTTGCCAACTTCAGCAAGCCGACGGCTGACGCTCCATCTCTGCTGCAGCATGACGAGGTGGAGACATACTTCCATGAGTTCGGCCACGTCATGCATCAACTCTGTGCCAAGGTAAGTGCAGGAATCAGAAGAACTGTGTGGAAATGTTCAATTGGCTCAAAGATGCATTAAAGATGCATTTTTTTCTACTTAATTCTGACATTTTCTAAAGAGGGGAATTCTTTTGCTCTTTTTTTTTTTGGTGGTTCCATAGTGTAGCGGTTAGCATGCCTGCCTTAAATAAATAATAAATAAATATACCAAATACTTGGTGCCTACAAGAGGCAGCCTGTAGGAGCAGATCTTCTGTTAACACGAGTTAACAACAGTTTCCCCAGTGTGGGATCAATAAAGTTTTTAAATATTTAAATAAAACCGCCACTTTTGTTTACAGGCTGACTACGCCATGTTCAGTGGGACCCACGTGGAACGGGACTTTGTGGAGGCTCCATCCCAGATGTTGGAGAACTGGGTTTGGGAGAAGGAGCCTCTGCAGAGAATGTCCAAACACTACAAGACTGACAAGGGCATCCCTGAAGACCTCCTGGACAAACTGATCAAGTCTCGCCTCGCCAACACTGGTCTGTCCCTCAGTGCTGCACCACACAGATAATGCAAGAAATACTGTAAAAATAAAAACCCTTTTAATGAAGCCACAATGAAGCAACTTAGCTGTGACACAGAAAAGAATTTCTCTCTGTGAAGTAAGTTCAAGTCTATTACAAATGTATTTTCTTTGTTGTGACTTTGCTGCAGGTCTGTTTAACTTGAGGCAGGTTGTTTTGGCTAAAGTGGACCAGGCTCTTCACACCAGGACTGGATTGGACCCTGCTGAAGAGTATGCTCGTCTATGTCAGGAAGTCCTGGGAATCCCTTCTACACCAGGTATCACCAAAAATACTTCATTTTCTTTAAGAACAAAATCAGTGTTCTCCTCTTTATCATCTTTTTATTATCCACCATCGGTGTAGACAGTAGAATCACGTTATTTAGTTATCACGCTGTAACACATACATGGTGAAGCTTGAATTACTGTTTAGTGTATTATGAATGTTTTAATGTTACTGTTGTAAATAACAATAACCTGCCTTCAAATGTACATGATTGCTAAAATCCTTTTTTTGAGCATCAAGAACTTGACATATATTGAGTAAAATACAAAGCGTTATTTTTAGGAAAACATGAAAAAATAAAATATAGTCAAAATTACCTCACAGTGTAATTCTTTACTTTAAAATACTGTGCCTTTTGTTCCGACCCAACAGGAACCAATATGCCGGCCACTTTCGGACACCTGGCTGGTGGCTACGATGCTCAGTACTACGGTTACCTGTGGAGCGAGGTGTTCTCCATGGACATGTTCTACACTCGTTTCAAACAGGAAGGAATCATGAACCCTGAGGTGAGAGGATGAAGCAAATACAAAAAATAAAATGTATCCAGTAATCCACAGTCCGTCCACTTACTGTGACGGAATTTTTTGTTTGTTTCTCTGGAGCGCATGTAGCCTGATGACCAGAATCCACCAAATCTAACAAATTAAATAATACTTCTCTTAAACTATTTGCATGACTATTTTATTGATAATATACTGTATATAGTCATACTGCCATACACATCTGATTTCGTTAATGTTTTTTCACGCTCGCCGTGGCTTTATTTTCATTCAACATTAAAATTCCTAACAATTAGGTTGAATCTAATCAAGCAGTTCTGTCTTATGTGTCTATCCATGTGAGAACAGTAAATGTGAACTTACCACTCTCCCACTCCCGTCCACTCAGGTGGGTCTGGACTACAGGAAATGCATCCTGCGACCAGGCGGCTCCTTGGATGCCACAGAGATGCTCAAGAAGTTCCTCGGACGGGAACCTCAGCAAGAGGCGTTTCTGTTGAGCAAAGGACTGACAGTGGAGCAGCACACAGAGGCCCTGCTGACCAATCTGGGCAGGTAGCTCCTCCCCAACATCCCTGCACAAGTAGACGGAACCCACATTCTATCTATAGTCATGATATTTTCCAGAAAAATACAAAAATTAAAAAGAACTTGTACCAGTCAAAAGGATGAAATTGTGAATAAAACTGTTAAATAAATAATGTGTCTAAACTTCTGGATTCCCAAAAAACACCAATGTAAATATGCTTTATAGTAAGGCATGTTTTGGGTG